AGGAAATGTTGGGCCTTTGGGGAAGGAATGAGCAACTCACGGATATACGACATCTGTTTCGTCCACATATCGTGGATCAGTTGACTCTCGCGCTCGTCCGGCGCCTTCTCGAGTAGACTGCGGGATCGCAATGCCTTCTTGGCTTGGTAGTTCTCTTCGCCTTTTTTGAAGAGGAGGCGCTCTTCGGGCGTTTCGACTAGGAGTGGTGCCACGGGGACGGGTCTGCGTACGTCGTATACGTATCAGCTGTCTGTTTGTAGCAGACTGGCAAAGGCACAAGTAAACAACTCACTTCTTGGTAACAGGGCTCAGCGACACCATCGTGAACGCGCAGGTAATCAGAACATCCTCCGGCTTCGCTTCCTCGCCCGCCGGCGGCGCCTTAGCCACCTGCAGCGACACCTCCATACTCGAGCGGCCCGTTGCGTAGGTGACCTGGCCGCTGAGCTCGAGGTCGCAGATCTCCATCAGCGGGTGCTCGATGGTGATGCGGTCCACGGCCGCGGTCACTGTCGTCACGGAGTCGCCGGTGTGTCTGTAGGCGATGACGCCGGCTAGTGCGTCCAGATCCATGAGCAGGGATCCGAGTCTGTTGTTTGGGCCGTTGTCAGTGTTCGTCCTTGCTTCTGGGGGTCATCATCGCGGGTAGTACCTGATATGGCCCGACGCATTGAGGTATGTGTCTAGCAGCCACTTGTCCTGGGCTAGGGGTAGGATCTGGATAATTCGTTAGTGAGCTGGCTAGATCTACAGATACACTCCGTGGTGGGTGATAAGGGTGGCTGACAGCTTTGTAGTGACTATCGGCCATCCGCTTGGGCGTCAGATCTGGTCCCGCCGCCGACGAGGAGTCGGGTGTGGAAGAAGCACGCCCCTCCTGGCTCGATTTCGCGGCCTCGCGACTCTCGTTCAGAGCATCGATCCACGGCGTCTTGACGCGCATGGGCATCCAGGTCGGACGGAAGGCGGTCTTTGTGCGGCTGGGGTGGAAGTCGCGATACGCGAGCAGGGACTGTCCAGGGCGGTGTTGTGTTATACGGTGCTGGAGGGGTGTAGTAGTAGTAGAAGTAGCAGAAGTAGTAGAAGTGGTGCTGGAGAGGCATTTCGACCGGCCCACGGCGGACCGTCGCGTACTGAGACCGAACATGGTGTGTCCAACTGAAACAGGGATTGAATGTTGTAAATCTTATCTCGACCCTGCAGCAAAAAGCAAGGGATGGAGAGTGTCGGTACTAAGTAGTCAAGATGCTGGGGTAAACTAATAAGCCTCGGGGGTTCGGCATTCCAGCCGGCTTCGGCTCCCTTCGCCGGGGCAAGTCGGGAAAAGCGCATCCAAACTGGCGGAGTCACCCGTGGCGGTGGGAATTGGAAAATAGATCTGGGGTCCTCAGGGATTAGGATTATGAGTTTAGCCGGGTCTATCTGCATTGGAGTCTTGCTGTGCGGCAGTTCTGCAGTCACTCAGGTACATACAATGACATCATCATCATCTTTCCCCCTCGGCGGTTTTTCTTCGTTCGCCGTAAGAGAAAATGAACATACTTATCCATTAGGGTCAACAATTCGGCCCCTTATAAGTCGACTTCTGAAGACTTTCAGATCGACTGTACCATCGGAGGAATCTTATGCTCAAGCTACCAAACCCTCGATCCAGGTACCAAAGCTCTCTCGCCCGAGAAATGCGTCAAGGTGAAGTCATCACCATGCATCCATTTACTTACTTAGCTAGCTGTACAGTCCAATGCGACTCATAAATACCCCCATCCATACTTGCCAAGCATCCTGTCACTTTTAATGTCAGTATAAGCTGTAGATCAGCACTCTATTGTATCTATCCATTGCATATCACCTCCCCTTCACGATGAGTGACCCGAACAATCCCAACATCCAGAATCGCACCACTCCGCAATGGGCATTGTACCAGCGCGAGAACTTCTGGAAGGCGAACGAGGGTCAGACGCCTCCTTTCAACACTGGTATGCATATCTTCGCAGTCTCGATTCACCAAGGATGAGTGCATATCAAACTCAACGAACAACGACCATAGACCCCACGAAGCTCGAAGAAGAAGCGAACCGCAAGCTTAGCCAGGGCGGATGGTACGTGCAGCGCAATCGCCTTCAACCCAACCCGACATTCCTCTTGCAGCTACTGACAACCCTGCGAAACTAGGTACTACGCCTCCTCGAACGCAGGCCTATCAACAACGCACCTAGCCAACCGACAAGCCTTCTACCGGCACCGGATCATCCCCAACCAACTGGTCGACACGAACCTACGCGACACAACGACGACGATTTTCGGACACCGGGTGTCCGCGCCCATCGGATTCGCGCCCATCGGCATCAACAAGATTTACCACCCGTCCGCGGAGCTGGCGGTCGCCAAAGTAGCAGGCGAGCTGGGGCTGCCGTACTGCCTGTCGACGGCGGGCAGCACGCCGATCGAGCAAGTGGGCGCGGCCAACGGAGAGGGCAACCCGCGGTTCTACCAGCTGTACATGCCACACGACGACGAGTTGACGCTGTCGCTGCTGCAGCGGGCGTGGACGGCGGGGTTCGACGCGCTGATCCTGACGACCGACACCTGGCAGCTGGGATGGCGGCACGACGACGTGGCCAACTCCAACTACGCCTTCTACCGCGGCATCGGCGCCGACCTGGGGCTGACGGATCCTGTGTTCCGGCGCCGCTGCCACGAGGCTGGCATCGACCCGGACGCGGACCCCGTCGCCGCCGCCACAAAGTGGATCGACTCCGTCTGGCATGGTCGCGCCTGGTCGTGGGAGAAGATCCCCTGGTTGATCGAGCAGTGGAAGCGCATCTCCGGCGGTCGCCCCTTCGCCATCAAGGGCATCCAGTCGGTCGCCGACGCCAAGAAGTGCGTCGCGTATGGCGTCGATGGCATCGTCGTGAGTAACCACGCCGGTCGCCAGGTCGATGGCGCCATCGCCAGTCTCGATGCCCTGGAGAATATCGTCAATGCCGTCGGCGACCAGATCTACGTCATGTTTGACTCCGGCGTGAGAGGCGCCAGTGATGTCGCCAAGGCGTTGGCGCTCGGTGCCCGATTCGTGTTCGTGGGCCGCCTCTGGATCTGGGGCCTCAGTACCATGGGCGAGGAGGGCGTGCGCCATGTGATGAAGTCGCTGCTGGCGGACTTTGATATCCTCATGGCCGTGGGAGGATTCAATAGCGTCGAGGATTTCGATCATTCCATTTTAGGTAGGTGGTTTTGCCATCCATGCTAGGCTGGGCGCAGGGGGGATCGCTGACCGTTGCACCAGAGTCATACCCAAAGTCGTACACATTGATACCCGACAGAGTTCTATAGGTCGAGGAGCTAAGCGGACCCTCGCCACTGTATAGACTGGAGGAACATGAAACAATAGCTCGAGATTAAGGTTTGTCCTGAAGAACAACTGTATTTGTAGGCTAATAATAGACTACCACATGGGTTATCCTCGGAAATGTCTGGGTGCAAGCGCAATCTACCAGAGTAGATGGAGAATCGAAATTTTTTCAGTATGTGCCAGAACGTGAGTTTTTTAATGCAATGAAGAAGTCTACAGCAGGAAAGTGCATAAGACGACCACCAAAGCAGGTAGATAGTATGTGGAACCATGGACGGATATTCCTCCACTAGCAGAGTTGCCAGTAGAATTGGAAGAGCTGGAAGAGGCAGTGGATCCAGTAGAGATGTCAGTCGAGGATGAATTGCTCGCCTTGCTTGAGCTCGAAGAGGTGGTGTTTCCGGAGTAGGCACGGGCGGCCAGGCCGACTCGTTTTTGATCGAAGTCGAACACGGCATAGACATTCTTCAAGAAGACGTCGCCCAGAAGCCAGATATCGTCTCCGAACAAATCATAGCTCACAATCGTAGAGATGCAGCTAGACTTATATTGAGAACCGATATAGTCTTGCGGCGAGATGGTATAGTTGACCCCGGAGAAAACCACTTGAACATTGGCCGTCGAGTTGCACGGGATGAGGAAATAGTCGCCAGAAGCAGTGGAGTCTGGAATGAACGCGTGCAGCGCCTTCGCATCCTTGGAGGGAAGCATGGCGTATGATGTTCCCGTATCGATGATGGCCGATTTGTTGCTAAAGTCGCAGGCGTTTCCATTAACGTAAACATCATCGACCGGGATTCGCCAATAGTTCCCGGATCCAGTAACCGTGTCAGTATATGAGATCTGACCGGTGAACTTGTCCTTATCCACCCCCCCGATGGTGACAGTGCCATCCTTCTCGCCGCTCTTAGTGCGTGAAAGCGCGAAGCCAACGACGTTGGAGTCGAAGTTCTTCTGCTCAGCCACGGCGTCCATAAAGGTGGGAGTGTTGTAAGAGGTGTCGTTGGAGCGACCAAATCCTAGAATTCCATCCATGGCATATGACTCAAAGTTGTTGGAGGCATTGGTAGCGAGTCCGAACGTAAACTGCACTTCAACATCGGCGATTGTCAGATTATCGGTGGCAAGTAGGCCGCTAGCAGATCCTGATCCGTATCCGACACTCCACTCGGTTGTGGTCACATTGATACTTGAGGAGCTCGTTTCATCAAAAGTGTCGTGCATGCTACAAGCTTTGGTCGCACAGTTCGAGCTGAACACCCAGGAGTTAGTGCCGCCCGTGTCCAGCATCATATAGAATTCTTGATTCTCCGAGCCGATCTTGACCACTGCGAAGTAAGTGAGGTCATTGCCGTTCTGGTCGAGGGCGGCGGTGTTGGGCCAGGAAGGCGTCTTGGACAGGACGATATTGAAGTCATTGTTCCGACGAACGGGGGCTCTCTTTACATCAAGCGTAACAGGCTCATCAGCCTTGGAAGAAGCTTGGCTGTTGATCAAAGCATCGCTTAGTGATTCCCAGGGCAGAAAGCGACGAGTTGGGGCGTTCTGGGTGGTCGGAGGATCAAGTTTGAGTTCATAAGGAATGAAGGCAAAGACCCCTGTCCACAGACAAGCAGCGGTCAAAAGATTTCCCGTTGGATGCATGATGCGAGGAGGGGTTAGTAACTAAGAGGAACGACCCAGAGACTCATTTGCAAGACTTGATACTAAAGATCGGACTCTTCGGTTGAACTCGGGAAAGAAGTAAATAATTGCAATACAGGTTCGAGAGAATGAAGATGCTGATGCTCTTTGAACGATGGCCCTCTAGATAGACGAAAGCGAGTGGATTGATAGATCTGCAGGGTTCTAAATCCGAGGCAGAGGGGACAACGATCGACTAGCAGTTTGCACAAAACAAACAATCAAGCAAGCGAGAGGCTAAAGTGCAGAAAGCAGCGGAAGATGAAAGAGAGAAATGGATGAAGCACTAAAAAGGATTGAATGCAGCAGCGAGAGAGCAACAGCAGCAGACAGGGAAAGAATGTACAGGGAAAAGATGAAGATGGAGAAGAAAGTGAAGAAGAGTTGAGAATTTGAGATGTACGAGTAGTCCGACTAAGTCAGGTACCTTCCTTATGCTCCATTGCTCATATCCACGCCCAGACGGAAATCCCCACTCGGCAGGTTTTCAGCACGGGAAGGACGGACTGTCACTGGCTGGCGGGGAGGAATCCAGACCCAGAGCAGACCCAGAGCCTGGAGCCTTTTTTTCCCCTGAGCCAGTCCAGCCAAGCCAGTAAAGCAGACTTCTCTTCTATACGAGAGACAGTCTAAGACAGTTCATCGCAAGAGACATCTGTCTTTCAACTTCAATTGATCAAGAGATCAATCAGCCAGACACAGTCAATTGAGCTTTTCGGCTCGTTTGCGACCACCCTCATCGATCGTCTCCTACTGCTGATGACGACGACGACTTCGACAGTGCTCGCCACTGAGGGGTCTGCACACTCTCTCTGCCTGCAGTCGACCGTTCCAGTCACTCTGGGCTGCGTCACTTGGCGTCGACGGGTGGATCCCATCAGGCCTTACTGAATATGGGTGTTCCTAAAACCATTGGAATTGATTCCTCACAATGCGAGTGCCGTGCGTGCTGCTGACATGTCACCGAGACGATTGAAGCATGGCCGCGAGGTGCTGGGGTTCATCTACGATACTTACACTCTCGATCTCATCTCCTCGAGATTACCCAAAATCTCCGTACTCGTAGCGGGCTGGCCCGGGTGTATGCTGGCAGTGGCTGCGGTGTGCTCAAAGCCTAATTATCGCAAGGTTCTGACGGGCAAATCCTGCTAAATAAAGACCACCTGCCTGCCTGCCTGTGCGCGAGGATGTTCGTCGTTCAGCTCATCTGAAACATCACACGAACTGCGATCGCAATTTTTTGATTGATCCGAGACTCCACCGTTTAAAAGTCACACAGCGCACATACACAGGGACTCCACACATTGGTCAAGCGAATTGATTTGCTGGGAGGGAAAGAGATGGAGGGACACAGATGTGCTGTCAGTTGATCCAGGGGTTTCGATAGCAGCTCCGAGTCCTGGTGGAAGAAGACCACTGCAGTAATGGGCGAGGTCTGAAAAAGGAGAAATGGAACTGGAAAGGGAGTTTTGTTCCCGAAATAAACACTGGCAGTCTCATTATCTAGCCGAGGTCGCTTGGGCCACCGCGCCCGACCTTTTCAAGACTCTATGAATCAATTCCCTTGGCAAGCAATCTATTGACTGTCCACTTGCTCGATTCAGAAATCGAGGTCTTCAGTGACGCTCTTCACAGTTGTGGATACAGAATCAGTGCTCAATTTGGCCTAGCTTGCCTGACCCTGAAGGCGGTCATCCTCCTCAGTTCTGGGCAGTATTTCACATCAAGATGAAGAGACCACACCGGGCCCTTCTTCACATGAGAATAGCTGAGACAGGTTGACTCCTAGTCTTTGTGTACTATCGTCGCCAAGAACATCGAAGCGAGCTGGTAGAGCTGTAACAATTCAGGAGCACCTACCAGAGCCTAGCTATATCGTGTCATGGCCGGCTTGTCTGAAGCCGACAGCTCTTTGGCCTCGGAGTGGAAAAGTGGCAGCTCACTAGCAAGCAAATAATAGCTTTCTGCAGTCAAGCCTTCGCAGTATGCAGCATAAGACTATCCAAGCTGTATCACTCATAGAAGAGCACCAATACACTCCCCAAGACTTCGGTGATTCAAAAAGCCAGTGGTAACATATCGAAATCACCTGCCGACAAGATCAAAACCAACAATAGAAACCAGCCCTGTCTCACTATGACCCTCATGCATTCACGCAATCCAAAACCAAATTGCATAAACTAATCCCATGCACAAACCACCTACCTACCTATCCTCCCTATTAACCCCTCACCCACAAACCAAAGAACATACTCAACCACCCACAACAACAAAACTCACTAACTCCGCAAACCACCCAGGTGACCGGAGCACTCTGCTCCCTCCCCAAGTGTCAACCCATGAGCTAAGGCTAGGGCGTGAAGTAAGTGGAAGAACACAATGCCCTCGCAAAAACGACCGGAACTCCATCGGAAGATCTCGGGAAAATTCAACGGTGGTGTCATTCCATCTGTCCGTGTGGCCGGCCGAGTCGACATCAATGACTATTTCCCTCAACCGAGATCTGTACCGGTCTAGTCGATCGACCTCATGGCCTTGTCATGATTAAAGTTTATCCCTGATTGCCGAGGGCCGCACCACGTTACCAACTTCCCTTAGGCTTTTATCCGGGGCTGTGGGTGGGAATTGATCTCTGGGCCGGACTTGGTTGGTACTTCCCCGGCGTACTTCATGATAACGGTCTTGGGTACTTTTGGGTAGAATGGCGCACCGTCTTTCGTTGAGTCTACAGTACAGATGTCAACTGTGTGTCGCGTGTGCTGATTGCTCGGCGGATGAAGGATGGTTCTATCCTACTAGACTAATGAGGTGTTGGAAGATTCGATGATATGTGTTGTGGTATGCACAATATATATTTCATTCCATTTTCGTAGATGTGACTGTCACTCGAGCAACAGGTTGGAATAATCACATCAATCAGATCCGATGACTACCCAAGATAGAGAGAATGTCCACGATGGACTATAAGTGAAAGGCAATACAACAAAGCATCACGCATCGCTAGAGAGACAAACAAGACAACTGGACACGAACACCCGGCTACTCAGGTGCCTCACTTCCTCACGACAGCCGGCTGTCTGCCCATAATATCATCCATCACACCCGTCCACAGCTCGCGGAACATTCCAGGCTCCTTCGACTCATGCTGCTTGGTCGACTCCTCGCCGAAGCGGGACTTCCCAACCGCCTCCGTCAGCGAGAACGGGTCGATATCCACCGAGTGGTTGTCGACCACCTCCGTCATCGGACTCGCGGAGACGTCAGCGGCCCCGCCGGAGACGGTGTAGATCTGGGGCTTCATGGGGGAGTCTGCCTGAGCCGGGCTGTGGTGGGAGTAGAAGTCGGGGACAATCGGGAACTGCGGATCGGCGCGAGCAGCCGGTCCATCGAGCTCCGCCAACGAGGGCATGTAGGCGAAGTCGACGGTGGCTGAGTCACCGACGGCCTTCATCGACCGGGAAGTGTTGAATTGACGGCTGTGGGTGTCCCTAATTCAGACGAGCGCTTGATGTCAGTTCCGAGGATCCTTTATTTAGCCGAGGGAGGAGCGTTGGGTGGGACATACTCTGAGATGGGTTTGCCGCTGATGCGGCGCATGGCGATGCTGAAAGCACGGGACTGAAGGAAATCATGGTTTTGGAGACGCTCGACGAGCTAGAATGAAGACCAAGCTTGGTTAGTATCTTTCGCAAGGAATGGATGCGGAGGAGGCGTGTGTAGCACTTACCTCGGCTTGGGTGCCACTGCTTCTCAAGGATCGCTTCTGACATTCAGTCTTGAGATCAGCCACGGTGCGGCTAGAGTACAAAGAGGCCCGATCTGAGACATTTGCCGGTTGCGCCGAGTGGACGCCAGTGATGTGCAGTCCCCGGCGAACGCTGGGGACAGTAGAGTGCTGCTGGGAGAGCAGACGAAGAGCACGTAGGGAACTTGAGCGAGTAGCTGCCATTGTGGATGATTGGGATTGTTGTGTCGGTCTGTTGGGAGACGAGTACTGGCAGGTAATATAAGGCAATCACTGAGATGGTTGAGTTGAAGAATGTAGGGTTATTAGATAAGGCAGCGCCAAGTGATTAAGATAGGTGGGATGAGCTTGGAGGTAAACAAGACAGAGTATATACACAACCACTAGGGATGGGATGAACTAGATGAAATGGTAGAAGAGTAGAAGAGTAGAAGTATTGAAATAGATAGCAGGAGGGAGGGAAGGGAGAGGAAGAAGAGGAGAAGAGGGAGGGAGAGAGCCAAGTTTAAATTCCTGGGGAAGCTGGCTGTACTTCGAAGACCAGCCGTTGTTTCCAGGATCCCGTTTGGGGGGGAGAGACAAGGGAAGTGAGTTGAGTGAGTGAGTGAGTGAGCTACAACCTACACACAGGGCTCCAGCTTCCAGTACTACACCTTGCCTTACTTTTACCCACCCGTCCGGTGGGACTTTGGGGACACTGGGGGGCGGGCGGGCGGTCTAGCCAAGTCTGCTAGTTCTGTACCTTAGTCACTCACTATTATTGTAAGATGGGACCACTCACTCCATACTGTACTCTTGCAATAGACAAAACAGGAAGTCAGAATGCTTGGACATTACTCTTGCTGGTGATGCTCCAGGCTCTACCTCATGGCTTCTGTTTCGGGTCTCTCACTCCTTCTTTTGCCAGCTGCTCATCATCAGGGGTTTCGCTACTTGAATTCTTGCAGTAATAACGACATCTGAAAGTGTCCCAGAAATGGGGAATGACAGGTCATGGGAGGGGGTCAAACCATGGTAAGCTGCACAGATTGACCTGAATTGACTCCATCCTTCCTCCCCAAATCATGCTATCCTCAGCCGTTTCTGCCTATTCTTTACATTACAGAGCACATACCACCCCAAACGGGCCACGCCCTCCGCAGATGTAATGTACGTCCAACAGGCTTGCATACTTGCGCTCTCACACCTTCTGGATTTACTTGCCGACACCACAGAACACGCTGCACAGGCATGTATGGAGCAGCCAATCAACCGATCTGGACGGATAATTCACTAACTTTCCGGTACACCGGCAGCAGACATCAGTTGATTATTCATGCAATCAGGTATCGCAATTGGCCGACTACTTTCAGGGATGTGCTTGTTTCTCGAGGCAGATAGATTGGATCCCCTCTCGCATCTCCTCCCCACCTGCGGCATCAGCGGTACTGCCGGTCGACGTGCTCTGCATTCCAAGCAGTGTCGTCCTCGAGTCGCAAAGATACTCCAGTCGATCCTTCCTCTTCTGAAGCTGTCCATTGTCGTATCATGGTGTCATGGACCTTTTTACGATTACCCCTCCCGATGATTTTCTGATCATCAGGAGTCCTGAAACCACTTTTCTTCGTATCATCCTATCACGACCAGCTTCAACCAAAGCGTCCGACTTGGCAGAAGCATAAGACAATTTGACTCCGGTGCTCTTCTGGGTATGGATTGCAAATGGGGTCCGGTACAACTGCTGAACGGCAACTTGCTCATGAAAGTCAAACGAGGGTAATACAAGGTTCTGAACCAAACTTGAGAGGTCGTCGGTGTGGTAGTATACTCCGTTTGACTCCCACTCCGTACTCCGTGATGACTCGGAAGGGGGCGGGGAGGGTCCGTGACGCAATGCAGGATCAGCCAACAACATTCGAGAAGCCAGCTAGACGATTCAACAACATTTTGCCTAGACTACTATTTACCGAGGATTCGTGTCTAGAGTCCTAGACAGTCTGATGATGTTCCGCCCCACGATGATTGGCAGGCTTGCGAGCGATCACCGCGAAGGTCACCAATAGTCTAGTCAACAGTGAACACAGGCTAAACAAATGCCACGCTCCTTGCCTGATTGATCTGGCCATAAAGTGTTGAGAGGCGGTGAAGTGGAGACGGGAACGGGGCACGTGAGGTCGATCTGGATTGCCCGGCGGCTTCCCCGGTGGATCCTTCAGACGCCTAAAATAAGGTACTCTGATATACGCTGTACACCCCATACTCTACGGGATCCTCCTCCCCCTTGATTTCGCCGGGAAGATAAGGGACTCTGATGTACGCTGTAGGCTTTATCCTCTATGGAGTTCCCATTCCGTGCCAACAACCGTTTCCATGCTCCCCTTGATCCTGCGGGAATCCAACAAAAATTGGCTAGAGTCAGGTTGAACGATGAAGGGGACTACGCGCCAACCCACTTCCTTCACACTTGTTCGGCCGCAAGGAATCCACCCCATGCCCGACTTTCTGAAGGAACCCCTGCGACCTTCTATACTGAGTCGTCGGAGAGTCCTGGTCTTATCGCAGCTGTCTTTGGGCAGCTTGTGCTATAGCAACCAGGAACTGAGGAAGACTCCTTCAAGTAGCTTTCCCGGCAATCTTTGACCGGGCCGGGAGAACGGGGGTGGTGAATATCGCCTACCTAAGCTTCCATGCCAATCAAGATCTGGGTACTCTCATGTTGCGATACGTATTCATGCATAATCTGCTGGGAACGTGTGCGATGTGCATGGAATCTACTTTCTGTGTATCACTCTGCATATGAATAACATGTAGATTGCATGGTTATGGTTCGGCGCTTCTGCAACTTGCTGGAATCGTCGGCAGAGCCCTTACGCAGGTCGCGAACAATGTCTAATAGGTGATTTGCTATTCATGATAGCGCAGCACACCTCTTCGTAGTAATGCTCTCACATAGCAGACGATTGCTAGATCCCCAGCTGCAAGACTATCAAGCGAAGCTAATGGATCAACCGCGCGATCCGATAGTAGGCTCCAAGAAGCCCTCCCCCAAAGCGACCAACCCACCTGAAGAGCGATCACTGTTCTAGATTCACATTATATTACCCGCTCGGTGATTTACTTCCCATGAGCAAATTTGGCTCCGCTTTTTAGGTTGCCCTACAGAGTCCAGCAACGTGGCTGGTGGCTTATTATCGCCGGGGACGCAAGGACACTTCACTCAGTTTTACTGTTGGGCTTGCTGAAAGTACACACAATTGGCTATCCAGCCAGAAAAGAATCTATTTACAAGGTGATAGCCAAGCCACTTCACTGCCATACGGATCATTTATCCGTGGATATGCGGGGAAGCTGTGTTCTATCTTATCGCCCGATTGAATACCATCTATGAAGCATGTGGATAAATTATTAGGTCCGGCCGAACAAGATAGGCCTTTGCCCCACCTTTCAAGCCCTATATAGGTTTTCTGAAAAGCTCTCAGTGTTGTATTATTCGTTCCTAAGCACCGCGCTTCATTAGTCTGTTGGTCCAGGGGCCAATGTTCCGCGACATAAATAGTCTATGAGATCATCTTAATCCAGCGCTGTCTACTGACGCTGTGCACAGATGCATTCCGCCGACGTTCCTCGGACTGTTGAATGGCGGCACATTTCCAGCTCGGACATCTCCCCGCCAATTGAGCATGCTTCAACAGCTCCTGGACGAGATTTGTGTGCCCATGCAGCATCGCGATCTTCAATTCGCGCTCCGCGCTAGCCGGCAACGGCACGCCTCTACGAACGAGACAAACCGCGATATCCTCCCGTCCATACACCAGCGCAATATCCAGCGCAGAAAGCCCATCATGCCGCTGAGTCACCAGCCCCGGCACTAGATCGAATAGACAGTGCACTATCTCCATATCCGCAAGCTTGCACATCGCCTGTAGCCGGATAGACGGGTCATTCGTGTCCGGCAGGATCTCCGTGCCGTTGCGAACGGCCCGTCGAAAGAACGCCTTGCCCCAGGTCTGCGTGCAGCAGATCCCGAACGTGAGGTCGTGGATGAACCGCGCCCCGGCCGCTAGGAGCCTTTCGATGAGCCAGACCGGCGGGTTCGCGGGTCCGCCCACCGCGTCGTCCAACGCCATGCGCCCCGTGCTCGGGCAAACAACATTCGGGTCCGCATTGTACTGGAGCAGCAGCGCAGCGAAGTGGTACTGGCCTGCTCTGATGGAGAGGTGGAGCAGGGGTACTGCGTCTAGGTTTATGGATTTGGCACTCACCTCGGCGTCTAGGTAGAATCTGACCTCGTCGTACCGGCCGGCGCAAACTGCTTCCGCGAGGGGCTCGCGGATGGTTCGCCTCCACTCGTTGGCGCCGGGGAAGCGGTGAAAGTATACTTCGCCGTCTCGAGAGTGGAACATGCGTCTGTTGTAGATGTCTTGGGGAGGGAGCGCGTGTCTTTTGGCTCGTTCTTGGATTCCGTGGAAAAGGAGGCCATGTCTTTCCCTGCATGCTAGGCTCAATCTGATGAGTGATGTGTCGTCAAGGAGCTTGGAGATTCGCAGTTGCGCCTCGGCTGGCAAGCTGCTGAGTGTTGCGGGTGCTGGAAGTGCAACTGTAACTGGTGATGCCATTCGCTCAGCCACGGTGAATGTAGTTGATGGGAGAGGAGAGATCTTACAGGGCTGGTGTGTGTGGTGTAATAGCTGGATTCGAATTCCGGATGCTATCTACTCTTCAGGTCGGTGTCTATGACTGCGTCTTATATAGTGCCGAACTACAGTGCGGCTCATTGATAAAGAAAAGAAGAAAGCCATTGTGTCTGAGTTCAGTGGTGAGGTGTTTCATGCTCCGAGAGAGTCAACAAGAGACCGACGCTTGCGTTCCCGGGTGAAGACTTCAGGCGAACGCATTGATGAAATATGGTAAGTTCCAGTACACCAGCTTGTTGCATAAAGAAAAGCGCAGTGAAGATAATTCGTTGGATGTTTAGTAGAATCCATTGAGGGATACTAATCTGATGGCGGAGATCTTCGTTAGGTTTCCTTGGTGCATTTTTGACCTTAGCCCTGGTCTTTGTAAGGGCTCATGGCATGGTGATTCCAGTGGAAGGAGTGTCCAATGGCTAATGTATCTTGTAAGTCCGAATTAGATCACTGGCGTCTGTACTAGGTAAATCAATGTGTTGGCCCCTTGCAATTGAGCTTGTGGCCTTCGTGGTTAGAGGTTCCTAAGGTAGTTAGAGATGTCCCGCCTGGACTGAGTACCAACTTGGAAGTAACTGCACTGCAGGACCTACCTCGGAGATTCCATGTCTCCAAGTCACTGCCTCGTTGGCAAATGAAATGAAACGTGGCAGACGTGCGGGAATAATTGGCCGTGGGGATTTGCAGGCACTGAAGAGCGTGCGGGCAGCGCAGTCGGTGATTGGCCTACCCGAAGTATACAGTGCAGACCAGCGATCACTGCAATCCCGATGGAACTTCAGGCAACTTCACATCTCCGATCCACAGCCTCGCTCTTCTCCCCTCAACTGGATCCATGTGTCTCCTTGATAGGGTCCTAGCTCCTGATTGTGATCCGTTCCCATTCTTTGATGTCAAATTAACTCTGTGGGAGATGGCGGGGTCATGCTCGGTAGTGGGGCAAGTGATTGCCAAAAGGATGCGCCTCCAACTGCTGCAGAGCCGTTGATTCAAGAAGGGTCCCTTTCTCTCGGTCTATTTGGCGCAATTGAGCATCTGTCTCTATTCTCTGCTTTCATTCACTTCCGGAAGGCATTGTCTCTGTTCTTCCATTGCTCTCGGTGCGTCATGAGTTTCCTCGCCAGTGGCAGTCCTCTCGGCTCCTTTCTAGGACGCATGGACTGGCTTCATGTCTATATCGCCTGTGCTGCATTTGCTGTCTGCGCATTCGTCGCATTGACTCTGCTTGCATCACGGCAAACCCACAAGATCGACTACGACAGCGGCGTCTTCACATACTTGAAATTCATCTACGCAAGCTTTCTCAAACCCCATGAGAAGAGCGGGAATGGTCAGCAGGATGCTTTGGAGAGCTTCTACAAGACCCAAGTATGCTAGCGTATCATCCTACAACGCGGGTCCCAGACTGACAGGCCGCCCAAGGCTAGTGTGTACGATGCCACTCGCAAGCGTCTCCTCCGTGGCCGCGAGGACATGCTGGGCTTGGTCGCTGCGCAGCTGAAACACAAGGTGGACAGCCAGGAGCTGAAAGCTGGGAAAGCAATCTGGGTGGATGTGAGTCCCCTTTTCAAAATCGAGACCTGGGGCTTTTGCTAATTGCTTAGATCGGTGGAGGGACAGGGTGAGCATTCCTCGGGAACGTGAGGCCCGCCGGATACAGACCCTAACTGCGCCGTTAGTTACAACATCGAAGCGATGTCTGCTTTCCTCTCCGTGCCGGACTTCTTCGCCCACGTCTACCTGGTCGATCTTTCTCCCTCCCTCTGTGAGGTTGCCCGTCAGCGATTCGAGAGGCTGGGCTGGAAGAATGTCAGCGTCGTCTGTCAGGATGCGCGGGCCTTCCGGTTGCCCGAGGAGGACAAGGTAGATCCGAAATGCAAGACCGCCCCGGCCACTACAGGCGCCGATCTGGCCACTATGAGCTACAGTCTATCCATGATTCCAGGTGAGTGGTTCGTTCAGGTTGATACAAGACGTACTCACTCGGTGCAGACTACTACAGCGTCATCGACTCGCTGCCTGCGCTCATCAAGACCTCTGGTGTTGTGGGAGTTTGTGATTTTTATGGTATGCAGTGCATGAACCCTAACGAAAGCATCGTGCTGACTTGCCATACAGTGCAGAGTATTGTGGACGTCTCCTCCCGGAACTACATCGGCGGCGCCTTCAATCGTCATGTCAATTGGCTTGGAAGAGCCTTCTGGCGTGCCTGGTTCGACGCTGACCGTGTCAGTCTCGAGGCTGCTCGTCGAGACTACCTTGAATACCGCTTCGGGACCGTGATCTCGGCCAGTGAGAGAAATTACCTTCTGGGTGGCATCCCATACTACATCTTCGTGGGTTGCCAGAAGGACTCTACCACACACTCTGGTCGCGATGCTATCGAAAAGCTCAACGCTTCGTTCACAGAGTCTCCCTACCTCTCGCCGGCTGAGCACCGGAGTGAGATGGATGCGGCCGTCGTGAGCAGCACGCAAGAAATTAAGTCCAAAGCGTACGAATCTGCTGTGATCAATCTCGGCTCCAACCTGCCCCTGCCCTCATCCTTCTACCAAAACCACCACTACCGCATCTTCTACAACGACCTCCTGCCCAAGCACACCCAGTTCGGCAACGAGTACATCTACGCCTTCAACTGGGAAGACCCGCGTGTCGACCACAAACTGCTCAACATCCAGCGTGACGACGTCATCCTAGCCATCACCAGTGCCGGTGACAACATCCTGGACTACCTCCAGAAGAGCCCCCGTCGGGTCCATGCGGTAGACCTGAATCCCAACCAGAACCACCTCCTCGAGCTCAAGGTAGCCAGCTTCATTGCCCTGGGCCACCGCGACGTATGGAAGATCTTCGGCGAAGGCAAACACCCCGAGTTCCGCCGACTCCTGCTCACCAAACTGAGCCCTCACCTCTCGAGCCAAGCCTTCCAATACTGGCTCGAGCACACCCACGTCTTCACCTCATCCTCCGGCAAAGGCCTGTACGAGACCGGCGGCTCCCGCCACGCGATCAAGATGGTCCGGTACCTGTTCAAGGTCTTCGGCCTACAATCCAAGGTCCAAGCGCTCTGCGAAGCCCAGACGCTCGCGGAGCAGCGCAAGGTCTGGCCGGCGATCCGCGCGGTGCTCATGAGCAAGCCGCTGCACTGGGCGGTGGTCAGCACGGAATGGTTCGCCTGGAAGGCGGCGGGCGTGCCGCGCAACCAGCGCAACATGATCATCGACGACTTCTACAAGCGCAACGGGCTGAACAAGGAGATGAAGCAGGCCAACGACGTCAGTGGCCAGTCGATCTGGGAATACGTCGTCGACACGCTGGACCCCGTCATCAACGACACCCTCATCAGCAACGACAACTACTTCTACTTCCTCTGTCTGCAGGGCCAATTCTCGCGCAGGTATGCCCCCCCTCCCCTTCCAACTCATCCAGACCAATCCTAACAACCAAAAAAAAAAAAAAAAAAGATGCCACCCAGCCTACCTCTCCCCCAAATCGCACGTCAAGCTCTCCTCCCCAGGCGCCTTCGACGGCCTCCGCATCCACACCGACGAAATCAACGAAGTCATCAAACGCCTCACACCTAAGAGTCTCACCATCGCAGTAGTCAGTCCCCTCCCTCCCCTAAATATATCTTGCCCCAAAACCTCATCCCCCACAACCCCAGCTCTAACCTATACCCAACTAGATAATGGACTCAATGGACTGGTTCGACCCCAACAGCGACGCCGCCACCACACAAGCCCAGAAACTCAACCACGCACTCAAAAAGGGCGGCCGGATCCTCCTCCGCTCCGCCAGCATCGACCCCTGGTATATCCGGCATTTCGAGGCGAGTGGATTCACCGCGCGACGGGTCGGTGCTAGGCTCCCGGGGACGTGTATTGATCGGTAAGACCTCGCCCCTTGCTCTTTCCTCCAAGGGGATCATCGTTATATGTGTGAGAAACCGAGAGACTGCGTGTGCTAACAACATCCATCAACAGGGTGAATATGTACGCGTCTACGTGGATCTGTACGAAGAGTCGGGATCTAGATGTCGATCTCGGTCGGCCGGCGCCGAGTCGGGCGATGTCGGCTTTGTCGTTGAATGAATGAATGAATGAATAATTTTCTTACGTGGTGTCGAGTTGGAAGATGAGAGGCTAGGACTGGGTTTATTCGGCTTGTGGACGAGGGTTGGGATGGACTTTGTTCGTTGTTCGGGTTACGGTTACGCTACTTCCCTGGTTTATGTCACTAGAAGCATTTTCTCAAATCAAGATAGAATGGTAGGTAGGTAGGTAGGTTAAAAGCCATATCAGTATTCCTATCCGTGACCGCGATGCACTACACCACGTACTGAAGACTAATCATATCTACCTATTCCAGGTGCAACATCCCACCTCACAGCAGAGCAAGCAAGAAAAACAAATAAACCCCTCTATATATACCTCACATCGTAAACAGAGTTGACCGCAAAATGCAATAGAAATATCATATAGCAGAAGAGTAGAAAAAAGAAGGGACTTATAAAATAATTTCTCTGTACAGATAAGAATAATCGAATCGAGAGGGAAATAGTAGATCTAACGCCCCCGCCATCGTTTCTCCTCATTTCTTCTCGAGCTCGTGAAAAGTCAGGTCAGGTCACGTCAAGCCACGCATTCATCATCAGGAGTAATCAGTTTCAGTTATTAGGGGTGGTGGTAAGGGGAAGGTTGTATCACTCTGTTCTTTCGACCCTCGGCCCATCTATCCTCTGTTCGTGGATCTGTGATATGCCAATGATACTCATCACGCAGGATGGGTCTACCGGTAAAAGATCCAGGATACACGTAACAGGCCGGAAAAAGCAGGAGGTGGGAAAGAATCAAAGGAAGGGTGTGAGAGGGAAAAACAACAAGCATAATGACATGATAAAGCGAGTTAGGTGTCTTTGCGGAATGGGGTGGTGGTCGTCGAAATTGTGTTTACCGTAAGAACACGGCAAAACACAGTGAGGTTGGTAATAACGATGACAAGAAGATAAAACAGAATGTTGAAAGGCATGAAACAGTGATGATGATGATGACGATGATGATGATGAAATTCACCGAATCATATCATACACAGACACCAGGCATTGGAGCACAGAATAACACCCGCTAAAGTGAGCATTTGGCTTGGGATGACCGGGACTGACTGTTGCCCCTTGTTATGGGGCTTTGGGGGGAGACGTTGAAACAGGGTCGAATCATGAACGGCCGTATCTGGTCTTTCCGAAGGAGAAAGGCACGTAGCGGTACTTGATCATGTGTTGGATTTGGCGGCGCACTGCGTTGGTTTGTTAGTTTGAGTTCTTGAGCTCGGTTTGTGTGTATTGCACAAGTCATTGGGAAGAGACGGAGGAGGTGAATGCAGAGGAAAGTACATACTCGTTAGGATGAACAGCATAATCCAGTACACGACCAGAACAGGCCAGAAGACCGGGATGTCGAAGACGGAGAACCACGAGCACACAAAGCCGATGGCGATGGCGCGGGTCGCGGCATGCCAGAACTTGAACTCGGGAAGCCGACGGATGAAGGGCCGGAACTCGTCGTCCTGCTTGGTGGGGAGGCTGGGGGCGCCGGCGTCACCGTCCTCCAGGCCTTCGTCCTGGGTCAGGGAGGGGTCGAACTTCGGTTGCAGGAAGAGGAGGAAGAGGTTGAGGAGGTAGATTCCGAGGGTGTAGGCGACTGTTTATTGGCGAAGCGTTAGCTTTCTGTGTCTGTGTGCTGTTTGGGTCTTGATGAGGGTTTTCGGAGGTGGCGTACCAATATACCATCCCTGAGCGAAGACGATTCTCAGGAAGAAGACGAGAAGCAACACGACGGTGCCAGTCCAGCGGTAGGCCGTGAATGGTGTCGAAGCATCGAGATAGGTTTGATATTGCTATTGCGAGGAGGTTGGGGTGTCAGCTGCTGGGTTTGTTTGTATGGAGATTGCTCTCGCTCTACTCCGCCGGGATTGCGCTCCGGGGTGCGGGAGTCTTGCAACTCGGCGGCCAGCACCAAGCTGAATTGACTATTTTTCTCCATAAATCAGGATAGGACTCACCCGTGCGAGCTTGGAAGTCTGCGCCGTGACGGCTGTGAATGGGGTCTGCTCCGGTTCGGGGACGTCCATGGCGAAAGCGCTCTGAAGGAAGGATATAAGGTCCTTCCGAAATTCGATGCAGAGAGAAAGGGGGAAGGATGGAAGGAGGCGAGCGAGCAGAGAGGGAGAGAAGACTGCTGGGAGCGAGAACTTTCTTCCAGTCAGCGCATGCGATGGAGACGACGGAAGCAGCAGCAGTAACAGCAGCAGAACGACGGCAAGCAGATAGGCGGCAGAAGATAATCAGAAAAGTGTCCACAGGTGCTGGCTGGTGTTTCCCCAGCTAAGCCGCTTTCGGCCCCAAGCCACCGATCGCGGCAGGTGCTGCGCCTCCTTGCTGACTCAGCACTCACGTGCTAACTACCACTCAAACAATCCAAACATGAATGTGACCGTTGTCCCTTGAACCGGTCGGCTATTGGCGGGCCGCGGCCGAGCTGGTTGGTCGGTCTGCGGGGATACTATCGTCATTGCAACAACTACTGAAACACTGATAAACCTGCTCAGCTCCCATTGACTCGGCCATAGTTTCCTCCTTTTCTTCAAAATAGATCAGACTCACAATGTTCGCCCGTCACTGCTCGCGCCTCGTCGCCTCGCGGACCGCCCGGCCGCTGTCCGCCCACCTGCGAGCATACAGCTCCGCAACCTCGGCATACGAGCACATCCTCACCTCGACACCCAAGCCGGGCGTGGGACAAAGTAAACGCTCCCTCTCAGCGATCCTTTTGAAACACCCACTAACAGTCATGGCATTAAAGTCACGCTCAACCGCCCAAAAGCCCTGAACGCGCTCTCCAGCCCGCTCTTCCGCGAACTCAACGATGCGTTGACCAAATACGACGAAGACAAGGACATTGGCGCGATCATTATCACAGGCAGTGAGAAGGCCTTTGCAGGTAAGCAGCAGCAGCCTTGCCCCAGCAACCGAGCCTTATCCCCCTTACAAGCCCCTAAACTCCCATGAAACCCAGTCAAACAAACAAACTAACTAATAGATGAATCCCTCCAGCCGGCGCCGACATCAAAGAAATGGCGCCCCTAACCTTCTCAGCGGCATACACAAACAACTTCATCGCGCCCTGGTCTCACCTAGCGACCAGCATCCGCAAGCCCGTGATCGCAGCGGTGGCGGGCTACGCGCTGGGGGGCGGATGCGAGCTGGCGCTGATGTGCGACATCATCTACTGCACGGCGACGGCGACCTTCGGACAGCCCGAGATCCGGCTCGGGGTGGTGCCGGGCGCGGGCGGGTCGCAGCGCCTCACGCGCGCTGTCGGAAAGAGCAAGGCCATGGAGCTGATCCTCACGGGGCAGAACTTCAGCGGCCGCGAGGCTGGCCAGTGGGGTGTTGCTGCCAAGGTCGTTGACGGCGGGTTGGAAGAACTGCTGGCTGAGGCCGTTAAGACCGCTGAGACGATCGCCGGGCACTCGCGCGTGGCTGTCGTGGCGGGTAAGGAGGTCGTCAATAAGAGTCAGGAGCTGTCGTTGAGGGAAGGTGTCGAGTATGAGAGGAGGTTGTTTCATGGGTTGTTTGGAAGTCAGGATCAGAAGATTGGTGAGTTTCCTCCTCCCTCTTTTTCACCTTTGTCTGCGGGGTGGGTAAATCGGGGCTTTTGGCTGACGGGGATGGCTCTGCAGGTATGAAGGCTTTTGCTGAGAAGAAGAAACCGGAATGGTCGAATGAGTAAACACAGGTTTGTAGAGTGATCGCTGCTTCGAAGTTGGAGGGAGGTAGCAATGTCTGCAGTGACATGGGTCCTGTCGGCACATGAGTAATAGTAACAAACACCCCAATTGAATCATTAATCGTGTCGTATTCATGATCGAACATGTAACTATGTACATTTAAGATTATTATAGTATTACAAGGAAATGTTAGGAAGACGCTCTTCATGAACTCGCCCCCTTCTCTGCCTGGGCCACATCAGCAGCCACAGTCTTTTCCGTCTGGTAGTGCTCGACCACACCCCGATCCACTGTTTCGTCGAAAACATCCACCGGCGTGAGGTGGAATTTGCGTGCGCTGACTCCCCGCTCGAACAGGACATCGAGTTCGGCAAAAGAGCGACCGCTGGGCTCCGGCACCCGGAAGAAGGCATAAATAATGCAAAGGAAGCAGATGCCGCCCCAGAAGAAGCCAGCATAGTTACTCCAGTTCCAGGCACTGGGATTCAGCATGTATGGGGTCAGGACACCGCAGATGATTGCAACGATATTGTAGAGCGTGCGGCCGAGCACAACGGTCTTGATCTGCAGACGACGGGTGGAAAGCTCAGCAACAAGAGAGTACGCCACGGTTCCGACAGTCAGCTGGTAGAAAAGAGCCCAGATGATCATCATGCTGCCCGTCGCCAATGCCCCCTGCGTCTTATGCGATTCGGGGATAAGTCCAAGGAAGCCCATAACGAGAAGCATGGTACAGAGTCCGCAGAGACCGTACAAGTATAGGGCGCGGCGTCCTAAGCCCACGGACATGAGGAACCAGGCGCCAAACACGCCCACCATGTTGATCCCGTATTGGCCCATCGCAAAAGCGTAGGAGTCGGAAGTACTCAGTCCGGCCTGCTCCAAGAAATATGTCGAATAGTTGGAGAAAGAGTTGCCACTGAGGTTCTGAATTGCCCAGACCATGCAGACAATTTCGGTCCGGCGGAGGTCGGTGCCCTTGAAGCAATCGAGATAACTGGCGCCCTTGGTGATTTTTTCTTCCAATGCCGTAGTATGAACCATCAAGGAGATGGTCTCGTCAGCATCAAATTCAGTTTCTCGGTTCAGACTGGTCAGGCGCAGGAGAGCATTCTTGGCTTGTTGAATCTTGCCTCTGCGAACGAGCCACCAAGGCGACTCCGGGGCGAGAGAGATGCCAATGAACAACGGCAAGGGCCACATCCATTGGAGACCATAGGGGATCCGGTATGCCCATTCATCCTCCCGGTTAATCATGGCTTTGATCACTCCAATACCAATCAATTGTCCCACGCCCCAGCAGAAATTAACATAAGTCGTCAAATATCCTCGCAACGCAACCGGGCAGACCTCGGAAGCGTATGTAATGGTAAGTGTTTGGAAAACTCCCCAGGGAATACCAGCCAGGATTTCCGCAGCGAGCAAGGCCTGGACATTGGGCGCAGTGAAGAAGATGGCAGTCCAGGCGGTAATGAGAACGAGACAAGCCATGATCGTGTATCGATATCCGAATCGTTCGGACGCCCAGCCGTTGATCAAGAGACCGATGATTTCTCCGACATATGCACCGTTGCTCAGACCAGATTGCCACTAAACAGAGGAGTCTGTATTAGCATGGGTTCTCCGGGTGCCATATCCGTCAATTGATGGAGAAGATTGTACTTACCCTGGCTGGAACCTGATAGGAGCCGTCCGCCGTCATCTCACCGTATTTTCGATTGAACTGAGGAAAGGCATAGAAATTGTTGACCAGACTGATATCGTAGCCCTCCATGACAATACAGGTAGAGATAAGAACACTCCATGCGACGGCCTTCGGGTAGAGCTTGATGCCCTGCCACAGGGTCATCTTCCGCTCCTTATCGGTGGCCGCTTTGGCATTATGGACGATCCTGGCGGCGGAGCCCGTCGAACCGTCGGAGAGAGAGGGCGGATGCTCTACCGGTGCAATGGCATCCGGAGCTTTGTTGGAAGCCATGCTGGAAGAGCAATTGCGGTGCCCTGGGGAGGGGAGGGGGAAGAGGGGAGGGGGAGGGGGCGGGGGGAAAGGTTGAAGGACGAGGGTATAGGAGAAGTGTGTAGAATCGAATGTTTAGGGGGGTTTTTTGAACGGAGACCAGGTGAAGATGGGGAAAGACACGAGACGAAGAAAATCAGGGACGTTCCGCACCCGGCCGGATTGGCAATGGTCGAAAGTGGGACGGTTGCTGGTTAGATTTTTATGTCCACCGGCGGCGGGGCCCAAACAGGAAGTACTGGGAAAGAGAAAGTACTAAGTAGGCGACCGCAAGTGTCCACTCCACCACGCCACTCTCCCTGGTCGTCAATCAACTCATCGACGGTCGGCAAAGTATCTTCTGAGGGCCTGGAAGCGAATGGGTTTTTTCCGTAGTAGAAGAGTAGAAGAGTACTCAGTAGAGTATGGTCGGGAAGGGGAGACTAAAGGTTGCAGAACCAATTGACGGCAACGCCATGCAAGCAAAGTTTGCGGGGTAGCAAAAAAATAAGAGGAGAGAGATTTTGATTTGATTGAGGATGCAAGCCCTACTGAAATGAGCAGCTGATCTTGCACAGCCAAGCCTTTTAGCTGTTTGGGGGTTGTTGTGACTTGGTGTGCGAGGCAGTCCTTCACTTCTGCAACTGAGTGATACTTAGTAGATCTGCAATCAATCCTCATGTCTCCCTCGTGGCAGGCTGCCACGTGACTATACTCGATCTTGACATTCTTCGGAGGATCGAAACTTTGAATATGCCATGGTTCGGCAGACAAATAATCTGCGAGATGAACATATCACCCCCATCCCAACAACCCATCGAAGGTTCGCTTTCGTATCTTGTTCCCTGCCCTGCCATTTAAGAGCCAAACTGTCCCAATGGCCCAATACTCTTCCGATTGAGATTTTGTGCGTAATTTTCTGCCTATTACGTCTGCGAGATCGGTCAAGTCGTTTGATTCAAGACATGCGAAACACTTTCATGGTTGTCTGTCAACCAGTGATGAGATAGGATTGATGGCGGGCGGTCAACAATGAAAACCAGAGCTTTGGTTACAATGCATCATGGGTTAAATGGCACGGTTCTGCATTCTTTGTCGCCTGAGTAGGCCATGAATTCTCGATCCCATACGGTTCAAGATCTCCGTATCAGAATGCAATGTGTCAGATATGCAGTCAGTCAGTCATGACGTAAAGGTGCGGTGGTTTGCCTCACACCAAAGTGTCCATGTGCCATGAAATCCTCATGCATGCCCCAAGGAAGATCTCTGTTGCTGTGATGTGAGAGATACGGGCGGATTCATGTTAACCACTCCTTCGCCCTCCCTTACCGTAATATCAATCTACGTGATTCGGGCCATCCAATCATGACCTCGCGACAGCCGATCAACACGCCACTGTCATAATCCCTCGAAGCCTATTTCATCATCTCTCCTCTCGTGGCCCTTGGACTTGTTCAGGGTCCTCCTGTCATCTATTAAGACCCAGCATTTGGCGTGGGCAGGGGGCTGCTGACCATTGCTCGTTGTTCCAGATGGATGATGATATCATCGCTCTGCACACACGCGGCCCGTGGCGAAAGCCTTGGGATACTGCCCACCACAATGCTCTATAAATGAGCGCTTCGATCTGTGTCAATAGCCTTTCCATCAATCCACTTCTTTTGACCACACCTGAAGTAAAAAACCACGCTCTTCTTGACCACTTGCAATTCTGACTCATATCCAATCAGACGTTTGATTTCCATCTTACACACATCATGTCTGGAGAGAACAACAACAACAACGGTACGTGAAGCATCCATCGCAAATACTTTACCAGAACTGCTTTGGTCCTCCCCACTCCGTAGTGTTCTGCCTGTCTTGAAGCGGAAGATTTCTCCTTTATGCTTCCTTTGGATCTCATATGTGGCAACTCTGCCGCCCACTGGTTGCTAATATTGGCTAACTAGTCAACCTCTTGCAAGGGCTTACAGACACCCTTGGCAAGACCGTCGGTGGCCTCACAGATACACTCGGCGGTGCTGTCGGTGGATTGGGCCAGACGGTCGGCGGAGCTACTCAGGGTCTGGGAAAGACCGTGGGCGGCGTGGGCGACGGCTTGGGCAAGACGGTCGGAGGTGCTAGTGAGGGGGTGGGAAACACGACCAAAGGCGTTGGACAGTCGACCAGTGACGCTCTGAGCAGCATCAATGGCGACCGGTCCGGTGAGAATGCGCGAAAATGGTAATTGTGTGTCGTTGGATGGCAGTATGAAGTGATGAACTGTTTTGCTTATTCGCTCGGTCCGGTTATTCTGAATTCATGCCGTCTCCTGTATTAGTACGAAATGTTCAATTCATGACTTTTATGATCGAAAAGGCATAAGATAAGCATTGTATGAGCGATGGTCGAGTCGACACATAAATCAAGATGCTGATAGCGAGAAACCTCCGGAAAAGATTCCGAGGTCGGGATTAGAGCCCACTGCGGGCGCGTGTGAGTTCCGCTCTCCGGAGGACGGAGGTTCCCGCAAAGGAATCGCCCGCCAGAAAGGGTGTCGCCGTTGACTTGTGCTGCTGCTCTGCTTCGAAGTGAGCTTGATTCCAAGATTAACCCCGGTCAAGTCCGTGAGAGTGATGTAGACGGCATTATCTGCCGGAGATGTGTAGAAGTTAGTGGGCTGTAGGGTGACTTGCAGCAACTGAAGCATCCGAACTTGAATCCCAGAAGTCTCGGCCCCCAAGCTTTCGAGATGACACTCTGGGGCGCAATCGTGATTTTATCAGATTCCGAGTGGACCAGATACTGGGGCAGCGCTGGTTCCGTTGGCAGTGGGGAGCTCTCGATATCCCCATATCGCAATGTATTCCTACCATACAGTGCATTGTTGTTTTTATCAGCACTCGGGTCGGAAGGGATTATAGATCTCTCGCTGCCGATTGGATCGCATCCAACAACCATATCAGGTAACGGCATAGCCAAGCTGTGTCCTACTGAGTAGCCTTGTCTTGCTTGCCCTTGCTACATGTCGAAGGAGGGCTCTCATCGGAATGCAGCTGGGAATCACCCGCAGCGCCTTCCTTATCCGAATCGGGCAAGTCTTGCGCCCATCCATGATCAGACAGATTGGTAAACTTGAGCAAGTGGACGGTCTAGCCTTGAATAAGGAATATGCGCAGCGCTCACTTGCAACTTAACGGGCTAGTCAACGTCTGGCCTGGTCCACTGACTAAGAACGGTTGCTGGGGACAGAACTTAGAGGGTGCAGTGAGCGCATCGACTAACTCAATTTCAATCCGCGCCTTTCATCATGCCATGGAGACCGCCCGGGTCGGCGCCTCCACTGACAATAAGTGCTATAACAAGAGTTGATCTGCTAAGGTTGTTTCGAAAAAGAAAGGCCCTGAACAATCAAGAGGTGGTGATTGGCTCTGGGTTGAGGGGAAAGAGGGGGGGAGGAGTTCAAATTGGGGGGGGGGAAAAAACAGTGAGTCGGCTTTCTCCAGCCTGTGCGGGGTAATTAGCGTGGTTGGGGGGAAGAGCTTCATGGTTGTTTGGAGTGTCTGATCTGGGGATATAGAATTGATCTCTGCACCTGTGAGAGGAAATCCGAAGCCATTGCTGAGGGGAAAGCTGCAGAAAAGAACTGGGATTATGTCTCTTGTCTCTTGTCTCTGGTACGGTGTAGTCCACGACTAACTAAGATCCAGTCTCCGCGGAAAGACCTGCTGTTTTGACCTCGGCGGCGGGAAAGATCGAGGCAAGTGGAGTCGAGGTTGACCTTCTCCCCTGGTTTCATTGGCCTCCCTCTCGCCATCGTCGGCTACAGCCAAGGTTTAGGTACCTTAGGACAATTCCAGAGAGCAGTATCCTGCATGCTTTTCCTTATAAAAAAAATATAACCTATCCTCTTGCCCTCCTTCTTCTACAAAGCACGCCAATCTTGTACCTCTTCCGAGTCCTCAATTGCTCTCGTCAACTTCTACATTGCCCTGCCTCTCCCTTCCAGGACTAGACCTCCATATCCTATCATCACTTGATTCCCTCGCATTGTTGGCCTCTTCCTTGCGCCACGACCTCCCCGATCTCCATCATGGGTAAAGAAAACGAGCCCAGTATGTTCCCTCCCTCTCCCATCTTATGACCCGGGACCCCATGGGCTTGGGATTGAAGCAGGAAACTAATTTTGGCGTCTACCTACAGAGACCTACCGCTATAATGAGACTCCCATCTACACTACCTCCAATGGCTGCCCAGTTCGTACATACCTGCCCCGTCAAGCAGGCTTGGTTGGAGTATTCATGTCTAACACTATGTCATTCAGGTCATGGACCCCCAGGCTGCTCAGCGGGTCGGCCGCAACGGGCCTCTGCTCCTCCAGGACTTCCACTTGATCGACCTTCTTTCCCACTTCGACAGAGAGCGCATTCCCGAGCGAGTCGTTCATGCCAAGGGCGCTGGCGCTTACGGCGAGTTTGAGGTTACCGACGACATCAGCGACATAACTGTCATCGATATGTTGAAGGGTGTTGGCAAGAAGACGAAATGCTTTACTCGTTTCTCCACCGTCGGAGGCGAGAAGGGTTCTCCCGACAGCGCTCGTGATCCCCGTGGCTTTGCCATCAAGTTCTACACAGACGAGGGTAACTGGGATTGGGTCTTCAACAACACACCCGTGTTCTTCATTCGCGACCCTGCCAAGTTCCCCATCTTCATTCATACCCAGAAGCGCAACCCTCAGACCAACCTGAAGGATGCCACGATGTTCTGGGACTACCTGTCCACCCACCACGAGGCTGTCCACCAAGTCATGCACCTCTTCAGTGACCGTGGTACTCCCTACTCCTACCGCCATATGAACGGATACTCTGGCCACACCTATAAGTGGATCAAGCCGGACGGCACTTTCAACTACGTCCAGATCCACTTGAAGACCGACCAGGGCAACAAGACCTTCAACAACGAGCAGGCCACTCACCTAGCCGCTGAGAACCCGGATTGGCACACCCAGGATCTGTTCGACGCCATCCAGCGGGGCGAGAACCCCTCCTGGACTTGCTACGTTCAGGTCCTGAGCCCAGAGCAGGCTGAGAAGTTCCGTTGGAACGTCTTCGACCTGACCAAGGTCTGGCCGCAGAGTGAGGTGCCCCTGCGCCGCTTCGGCAAGTTCACCCTGAACAAGAACCCTGAGAACTACTTCGCCGAGGTTGAGCAGGCGGCTTTCTCTCCCTCCCACATGGTCCCCGGTGTCGAGCCCTCGGCCGACCCCGTCCTCCAATCCCGCCTCTTCTCCTACCCCGACACCCACCGCCACCGCCTGGGCGGCAACTATGAGCAGATCCCCGTTAACTGCCCGCTCCGGGCCTTCAGCCCCTGGCAGCGCGACGGCTACATGAACGTCAACGGCAACTACGGTGCCAACCCCAACTACCCCTCCACCTTCCGGCCCTACCGCTACGAGCCCGTCAAGGCCAGCCAGGAGCACGAGAAGTGGGCTGGCTCCATCGTCACGGAGCAGCTCCCCATCACCGAAGATGACTACGCCCAGGCCAACGGCCTCTGGCAGGTCCTCGGCCGCCAACCCGGCCAGCAGGACAACTTCGTCCACAACATCGCCGTCCACCTCTCAGCCGCCCACGAGCGCGTCCGCAAGGCCACCTACGCCATGTTCTCCAAGGTCAACGCCGACCTGGGCGCCCGCATCGAGAAGTCGACCGAGGCCAAGGCCGCCGGCGTCAAGTCGGCCCGTCTGTAAAATCAAAAATCTGAGCTTAGTGCCTAGTTAGCTGTTTGATCTCTTGCCTCTTAGCCTGTTGTGTTGTGTCTTGATCCCTGCTATCGGGTGGCAAGCACCCCCTTGATGTACCTAGATTCAACGTGATACCTCTTGATGACCATCTTCGCCTTGCATCTCGTAAATACAGTAGTCCATCAAACCTCGTGATGAGCGTCAATACCTACGTAATGTCCTCGGCCGCAACGCATGAAGTTTCATCTCAGTTCCGGGTCTGATGCGGGAGAAGAATGGAAGCGCTGGCTGCGAAACACGAATGTGCCGCCGTGATCTCCGGCATGACTCGACAACACAACCGGGGAAAGCAGACTATAATAGATAGTAGAATGCCACTCGTCTGAATCTCTCTTGATATGGTATTTCTCGATGAGCAAAATCGTGTATATATAACAACTGATGTGGTGTACTCCCCAATAAACAAAAAAAAAAAACGCCAAGAACAATGTAACAGAAACAATATGTGGAACTCGTTGGTCAAAAAGCTTTATTCCAGAAGTATAGCTTGTCAAACAAAAGGATCGGATGGACCTCTCAAAGGTCACGCACGGGTGCGGTTATGCCAAAGTATACAATATGTAATGTGTAGACAACACTGCGGTTTCCAGGCCCCAGGGGGCAGATGTTGTCAGCAGAAAGTAAAAAGGTAACCAAAAGTCAAATGCTTGGAAGGGGGAAGGAAGTATTCGCAGAATCAAATAATAGTTGCACATGTTGCGCCCGCTCAGAAATACAATTCGACGGCCTAGAGGGAGGCTCGGGTCTTTGATGCGATGATAGTTGAAACAGATGGGAATTTCTAGATTTCGGGGGGAGAACTCCTGCGGTAGTTGTATGGAGCCGCAGGAATGGGTTGCGCGCGGAAAATGCTGGATGCGCTTTATGGAGGTAGAGTCGGGGCGGGCGTGATCAGATGTTCGTGAGGGGTTGGGGCGTCCCAACAGCCCCAGAAGAAGCCGGGTTTTCCACATTTGGAGCTGGTATCGGGAGGCGGCGTCCGGGAGGCAGTAGCCGTGGGAGTAGTGGTTAAGGTGGGATCGCGACAGCCAAACCAGCCGGGATGCTTACATGTGGTAGTCGAGGAGATGGGCTCAGTGGTCGTGATGGTTGGCCGGCTGGTTGCATCCGAAGTAGTCGTCGGGTCTTTACAGCCAAACCATCCCGGGGTCTTGCAGGTTGATGTGGATGTGGATGTGGACGTAGCAGACGGCTCTGTTGTAGTCGTCTCGTCCAGGCAGCCCCACCATCCCGGGGTCTTGCAGGTCGTCGTTCGGGTACTGGAAAAGGAAGTTGAAGTAGACGTTGTTGAAGTCGTCGTCGTGGTGATCTCGGAACCGTTGCTGCGGAAGAACTTCCAGAGTTCGCAGTCGTAGCATTCTTCCTCGGGAGCACAAGGCGGCAACTCATCGTAGCTCTCCAGAACGTTGGAAATAATAAAATTGATGCGGTGTCTGTTCAGTCCAACACGCCATCCTTTGTCTTCCACGGTGTCATAAACACACATCTGGCCAGTATGGCATGCGGACTCCATGGCATACCCACCCCACGTACAGGCAGAACTAACGCCGTTGCAGGTCCCCATGTACACAGGGTCCGCAGTGTGCCCAAAATGATAAGACCCGGTGAACTTACGGGACTGGGGAAATCTTGAGTCGTGACCTGGAGGGCTGGGAAGGCCGAGACGAGCGGCAGGCAGTGCCTCCGGGACGGCCTCAAAAGTAACGGCTGGCACACCTACCGTCAGACCGAGTAAGCTGGCCACGGCGCCTCCCAAGGAATGGCCTGCCAGCCAAATATTTGCATCGGGGTACATCTCAATCACGTTTGAGTAGAGATCTAACGAAGCACGGTAGTATCGATTTTCGTCCTGCATCGCCTCAACGATGCAGGTAAGATTGGCCGTGTAAAGCGTTGTCTGGCAGTCGCACACCTGACGCCAAAGATATGAACCACCCTGGCCACAGCAGCAGCTGAACATCAGATTGTCGTTGATTTTATCGTTCGTGGTGGTACCCTCTCCGTCAAAAAGCGCTGGAGATGTTCCTTTGATAGAAATAACGACAGTACTGTTTGTCTGGTCGGCGTAGACATGCCCTCGTAGTCCGTCACCCTGCCATCCAAAGCTTCCGGAATGGTTGAAACGGCCGTGTACATCCTGCCAGTCACCCGTGCCAGGCTCCTCAATGTAATCGTTTGCAGTCATCATTGCCATAGTGATGACCGTCTTCTTATCTGTTACATTAGGGCCGGCTAGCGTGTCCATGACCCAAGCATCAGGTGACAAAGCGACCGCCGACCCTGAGGACCTGGCGGCAAATAGATAATCATCGATAACGGAAAGTCGTCGATCTGCAAGCCGTTGAATGGTGAGGGGTTTGGACGATGCAATCAGCGGGGTGTTGACTGCGACAGGTTCGGATTCGACACCATCCTCTGAAACGGCCCGAAGACGGGTCTCCGGGTGAATGTCTAGCCTTAGGTGGAGATCGGGATCTTGATACGTCCCTCGATGGAACATGTGGCGAAGAGTCTATTTGATCAGTGGTTGCACAATAAGGCAATAGTTGCAGCACGGATCTGTCCGACTTACGAACTCATGGGTGCCATCAAGTGATGGGGACTCCGCTAAAGGGATCTGAGGGGGAAGAAAGGGCGACGATTGTCGGGAGCCGAAGTATACGGGCTGATAAGCGGAGACGAGGCCTGAAAGCAATACTACAGGCCAGAAAAGATCCGAAATTTGGGTGTCCCATAAGGAACGTTTCCTCGCTCGTCCTCGACAGCTGTTCATGGCGATATGCGGGGAGGGGGACAGAATAAGGATGCAGGGATGGATGCTGGAGAGGAAGCAGAGATCCAAGCAAGTCGAGATGGCGATCTACTGACTTATCACTGGGGCGGTGAATGACGCATGAATGCGGAGGTGCTTAACAATGATAGCCGGGCGTGACCTCTGCCCGCCCACGTGATCGGCGCGTGACACGCCCCGGTCGGCCTGAAGCTTGTTGACTCTCTCTCTTTCCAGGTTATCTTATACATAGTGCTGACGGGCATGATTATTGCTCCATGGTATTCTTGCGCCGCTGTGGCTTGTTGTCTTTAATCATGCTTGCGCGAGCAACTCTATTATAACCTTGACTGATTCCCTCCAATTCTCACCTCCTTCTTTTTCCTATCTTGTTTTCCCATCGTGGTGCCATCCCGTATTGAATTTCCAGGTGTCATCTAGTATACGCACTGGCCCCAATACATACCTCGATCTGCATATGCCTATCACCTGGACGTGAAGGCTCCCTCACTTGACCTAATATCAATCTTAACGCCCTGGCTGCAGGAATCATGTCTGTCAATACTTCCGACAATGGCGTTGGAAAACCACGCCTCCATACTGCCCGCTCATTCCCTCGAATGGATTCATCCGACCCCGGTCCCTTCATCCGCTCCAGAGCCAAGACGGTTCAGTCAGTTGCAATTCCAGAACTGGTAGACTCGGAATCACTTCCTTTGCCTATGTCTTCAACAGAGCTTGAGCAGGACGCCGGCCCGGACCTGTTTGAAAAGACCGGCTCTCCGGACTTGATACACGATGACGACGGTGTAGGGGACGACACTTCTGTACTCTCGCGGGGCATGCAGAACCACTCCGAAGAGCTTCCCATCGAGCTTATCAGTCTTACTGACAGGTATGTTCCTCGCTGAGCTGCACTACATCTGTTTTACACAATCGTCTAATGTGGTGCTTTACAGGTTCGTCAACTCCCTTACTGCAAAAGTACACTCGTCCCCACCGACGGCCGACAGAGTATCGGATCGCTTCCAAGAATTCTACGAACGGGCGGAAGCGCATATCGCTACACATATCTCTGCTCTCGCATCGCGGATCAATCGTGACCCTTCGCCGTACGGTAGCGCTCGAGGGAAATCGAATACACCAGGCTCGGACGGCCGACAGATGTTGACTGCCTCAGAAGTAACGGAAAAGAGGATCGCTCGGAAGCATTTAGCGTCTAAGCGCATCGCTTTAGAAGAGGCTGTAGAGCGGAGGGCTTGTGAGAGCATCTATGACAAATTGTGGCGGCATAAAAGCACCTTGGATGAAATCAGGGACGAAAAGTTGCGCTCAAAGACGGCAGCGCTTCTTCTGGTTGGCATAAACCTGAAAGATCTTGGGATAGAGCTCGATGCAAGCTCTATCAGTGAAGAGAAGCAGAAAGAGGCCGATGAAGGTCTTTCTATTGCCCGTGATTGCCTGGCAAACATGAACGATGAGAAATATCCCCTGGGCAAGCTTCAACAACTGGCCGCCGCCCACAAGGCCATAGTGGATGCTCTGACCAAGTTGTTGCCGTCTTCATCATCTGCCGATGAGATTCTTCCCACCCTGATCTACTGTCTCATAACCAGTCCTCCCGAAGGAATAAACATCATAAGCAATCTTCTCTTCATACAGCGATTCAGATCATCCAGTAAGATGGATGGTGAGACCGCATACTGTTTGACAAACCTCGAGGCCGCTATTAGCTTCCTCGAGAATGTCGACCTTTCTGACCTCCGCGGAGGAGCGCTGCACGAAGACCAGACAAAGTCCTCGACTGACGAGCCTACGACCATCGCAAAGACCGACTCCCCTCAGTCCACTAATAAAGATACACCGGTGTCATCGGTCGCATCGGTGACAGCCTCGCCCGAACTGTCGAGGCCAGCTGGACCGGGAGCTTCTGCCACATTTCCCAGAACACAGTCATCTAGAAATCCCCAACAAGGCCGCCTGAACAACCTATTCCAGCCGCCTGCGAAGGTACTTGGTGCCGCGAACGACGCCGTCCGTAACACCGCGGATCAGAGCTTGAAAAATATAGGTGCATCATTGGACAGCAGTTTCAACTTTCTTTTTGGTCGTTTGAAAGAAATACAAACCCATCAATTCGCTGCCAAAGATGGTGGCAGCCCGGTCGTACCCAAAACACTGGCAGAGGCCCGACGTCTGGTCACGTCGCCGATAGCCTCTGAGAGTAGTTTTGACCCTGACGCCAATTCGTCGCGGGAACCTCGTGTTACCGATCGACCGCAGTTGCGGCGCATCGGCTCTAAAGCAGAAGATACTCTCTTAGGATTGGTTGGTGGTCAAAGGACGCCTCGTGATCGAAGCGCGGACAGCGTTCGTACTCAGGGTAGTACCCGGAAAACAACCATCTCTTCAGGCTTGCAGAGGGAGGAGTCCCAAGCATCACCCACAAACTCTTCGACGACCCCGACACCTACACCCCTGGAATCAATGCGAAGCTTCGGAAACACCCTCAATCCACTTAATCATATCCCCGGCATGATCAGAAGCTTCAGCCGCGGCGCACCCGACACACCCAGCGCCTCATTCTCATCTCCCAACACCCCCACCGAGAGAATTCGGCAATCCATCGTCTCCCGCGACTCTGCGTCGTCCATCCACAGTATTTCGTCATCCAAAGCTGATACGAAGCCCACTGAACCCAAGGTCGACCCCCCTATCCAGCGTTTCCTCCAAATGCAAAACGCCAGCGAAATGACCATCGCAGACGTGTCCACCCTCCTGGAGGATTACAAGCGGCTTGCCGCAGCATTGTCGAAGCAGCCCTCGAACTGAGGTAATACTGTCGGCGTCGCCCCGGCATTCGTTCGTTTCCCATCTCTTTCTTTCCTACATAGTGTATCATTTTGTTCCCATGGCGTGGGACGTAGCGACCTTTACTCTCTTTTACCATTTGTTCTCATTATAAGATTGTGGATCACTGCTGGTGTTCAGTGCTCCAAAACCAAGCATCCTGCATTTCCAGCCATTTGGGCATATGAGGCTCTTTCTAGCATTTTCTAGGGATCAAAGCAATGCGAATATTCCTTATGAGCAGCAACAAGTCTCTATCATAAAGAGGGGGTATATGGATACTATGTAGTGCTGAGAAACAAAAACACGACAAAATAAACCATTGAAACAAGAGATTAAAGTAAGAATGCGATGTAGAGAAATGCGGCGAATCAGAACCTGGCGCCATGCAATGCGTATGAACCACGGTGCGGGAGAGTATAGCGGGATTATGAGGGAGGAGATACTTCCTCATTGAGGGGTACGCCCACGCAGAACCTCAGTCCCACCACTCTTCATGTCCCTGAGCTTCCGCGATAGCTCGCCGGATTGCTCCTCGACGAGCTCATGACGTCGCTTGATCTCGGCCTCGAAGACGGCCGCGGTCTGTCGTCGCGCGCGCCGCAGGTCTTTCATCTTCGCTAGAGTCGCGGAGAACTGGTCGATGAGGAGGTCGCCGTAGTCTTCCCATGCGTCCATCGAGAGGCCCGAGAAGAACTCCCGGCGATCTTGGTCGCTGAGGTTTAGAAGGTAGGACATCCTCTCCTCTGGATTGCTATCTGGACCGGGAGCCACGCTGGAGGTTGGGGGCACGGGTTTTGTTTCCGCGGCTGCGGCGGTGGTGGTGGCCGCGGGGATGTGGTCAAAGGGTTCGGATTGGAGTTCTGCAAAGGTTTTCTGTCGCAGGACCTCCGGCGGGTAGTCGGGTTCGAGCTGGCGCTTTTTAGAGTCGTGGTTATCTTGCAGGTGGGGGTCCGGGTCGGGGCTATTGTCGGGGCTGATGCGTTGAACGGACAGGCGGCGAGAGAAGGGGTCGTTGATGGGATCGTGGTCGTGCTCGTGGTCGTGCTCGTGGTCATCATCGTGCTCGTTGTCGAGGTCATCGATGTTCGTCATGTCGAAGGCACTTAATGGGGGGAGGCTGCCTCGTCTTCCGAGGTCACTGTCATACAGCCCGTACTCGTCTGCCACGTCGCGATGGTTTTGTTGATGGGGTTGATAGTGATTGATTCCAGTGATCCCTGCAACATCCTTGCCGGGCTGCGGCCGGGGTCCGGATGTCCGGCGGGTGGGCGTCAAGTCCAGCTGTTCCAGGAGAGAGGGCTTGGGGGGGCTGAACCGCGTCCGGGGGGTTGCGGTCATGCTGCGCGAGAGCGTGACCTTCCTGCTGTTGCCTGCTAGTGGCAGGACCTGGCTGGCCGCCATCATCCTGGTGTCGGAGTGGGTTTGCCTCAGGACTCCCGGTCCGGATGCTTTTGACGGCTCCGGGTACACGGCGGATGCAGCAGGGGGTTCTTCAGTGGAGTTTTGATAGGTGCGTCGGCTGGCGCTCCAGAAGTTTTGTAGGCGCTTGCTCAAGGGCTCGTTGGCCGTCGTGGTGGAGGACCTGTAGCGTCGAGCGTAGTCCGCGTCCTCGGTTGTATCGGACCGTTCATCATCCCCAACGACGGAGGTCAACTGGCTTTCTGCATCGTCGGCCGCGTCCCCGCTGTCGAAACCAGCCGACTTCAGGGCGTTGTCGCCGAAGTTCTCGTACCATTTCGCATCGAGCGAGCGATGCGGGATGTGAGCATGGCGTTGGAATTGCTTCAGGTCGGCGGCTTGGTGCTGAGCCAACTGGTACTGAGGCGGGATGTCCTCAAATCCCAGAACACTTGTTGCTGCGATGGTTGAGTCATCGATCCCTTCCACGTCGGTGTCGAACATATCCCTGTGCGCAGCATCCTCGGCTGTTGCTTGCGCCGGCTGCGGCTGCTGCTGGTGATGCTCCACCGGGAAAGAAGGGACTCTATAGTGCTCCAATGGATTGGCTTTGTTGCCCGACATAGGTACGGGAGCAACCAAGTTGGTCGGAGGGATCTCAACCCTTGCTTGGGCTGCTAGAGCCTGTCGAGATAGATTGGGAGCTTCATTTGCGCGAGATCGAGGTTGGGCGCCGGGTTCTTTGGCATGCACATAGTCTCCCACGCCCATCGTTACTTGTGGTGGGAGCGGGGTTGCACGGTCGAGAAATCTCACTTGGGCACGTCTTGCCAGAGATTATCATGAAAAGCTTTTGCAATTATTCCTAGGCTTGTGCGCATTACAGCGATTCGTTATGTTGAACAGAACAGGGTCATTGTCGTGGCGTCGTGGCAGTCATGAGGTTGAAAAAGCGGTCGAATCAAATTGGCAAACGCGTGGATTCTTCAGGCACACGAGGCAGCCATGAGGTCACGTGGTGGACTGGAACAGCCTTCCCCTTGGGAGTAAGCCAATATATCCTATGTCTCATTTTATCAGGGATTGTGATATCTTCGTCCTTGATTCTAGGTAGTGTACATAGCCTGAAAGGTTACATAACTGAACTGCCATGTGGGAAGAGTGAGGGTACTAATCTTACAAAAAGCATCCGATCATAGATGAGACCATGTCGCATGCCACAGAATATATTCACAATGGATGCATGTACAAGAAAATATGGAGAACAATATCAGCTCCAGTAGCCCATCGACTCATTGTCATCAATATGAAAATCGTCAAGGGTGGAAGTCACTCCCTTGCCACGTTGCCGAGCTTTCTGGAAAAATTCCTCCGACTTCTGAGTCTCCGACGCTCGCTTCTCCATCGCGAGTCTACGCTCCCGTCTATCCTGGATTGAATATTGGTTATTTTCGGACATCGAGTCGTCTTGGTCTTCATCATCGGTGTAGTAATCGTGCTCGGTCTGCCCACCAGGCACGGATGACACAAACAGGTCGGCGATCCAGCGGGATACCATCCCCCTCAACTCCAGCAGTTCCGGAGAATCCGAATAGGGAGGGGAGCCAAGAATCTCATCCATTCTGCCTGCAATTTTCTGTGCCTGGTCTAGTTCGACCTTACGTACACCGGCAACAAGCGCGTGGGCCCTTTGCTTGGAATCACGATGGCCTTCGTGATCGGATGTAAGATCTTCATCCTCTGAATGCTCTCCGTACTCATCCGCGTGACGAGCCCAGATGTTGCGTCGACTGACTTCGCTCTCCTCCTGGGTCACATAAATCCAGAGGCCAAACATGGCAGGGTAGAAATGCAGCGAGCTGATGGAGTCTGGCGAAGCTTTCCGGTATGGATGTTGGATGATCAGCCTCTCATAATATTTTTTGGCATCCTCAAAGCCCTTTCTGGTAAATACTGGCGATTGAGTAGCGCCGCTGTCGCCGCCATTTTCGGTAGCCATGTCTGCGATTTGACGGCCGCGCCGGAGCAGGATTTCCGCACCAATGCCCCATCTCCCTTCGGTACGTGCATCGATGGTTCTTCCATTGAACTCCTCACGGAGAAGTAGTCCCCATGCCCTTCCGGCACGAATATAGTCCTTCTGCAGAAGACAGCGATGCAGTATGGATGTCAGTACGGCAAGGTGCTGTAGACGGAGATTCCCCTGATGAGCCGCAGATTGCGGCGGGTAGATTGGAGACGATAGAGAGGATAACTCTTCAAGTACCCCTTGCCGCGTCTGCCGTACGGAAGATTGAGGTCGTGCGGGGGCATGCGGAAACTTGCCTCCCGGTAGTTCTTGGTCGAAAGACAAACCCGCCACGCGGTATTGATGAGCCTCGTCGGGCGATAAAGTGAGAGATGGCGCTGGAGGCGCAGCCTCCGAGGCAGCATCAGTGGTTTCTCCTTCTAGGTCGTCATCGTTGTCTCCCCAGTCATCGAAGCTTTTCTTGCGCTTCTTGGTCTCATATTTAGCTACCCGCACACTTTGAGGTTGCTGCCAGTGGGGTAGGGGCAAGGAAAAGAAGGATGCCGAAGGAATTGATGCCATGAAGACCCAAATTTCTCGGAACCTAGGGAACCTTATCTGTTAAGTGAGGATGTATGGCGGCGAATTAAGGTCCCATGGGGAGAGGCCATTTAGAGTGTTTGCATTTGGCTGGAAAATTAGACCGCCAGTCTGTCTCACGTTAGGCCTTCTGTCTGGACTCCTCAGATCCTGGTATTTTGAGTGTGCCAACAGCTTAACTCAAGAAGGGAGTAGAACCACGACTTTGAAAAAAGAAAAAAAAAAGAATATGATACTTCAGGAGGAGATAAGTACGCATGTGTTGGAAGTAAAAGGAGAAGATGGTCCGGGCCTTCAGTAAATCTGCACAGTGATGTGATGTGACCAATGGAAGCAATCGGAGAGAAAGCCGCGGGCGGCGCCGGCACGTTACTGACTAGAGCTTAGCACTAAGCCCGATTCGGCTGAACCAAAACCGCCGAAACCGCCATGACGCTAAGCTGTTTCAAGCTCTCCGGCCTCCCGGAACACTTTCACCAGTTGGCACTCACTCCAGTCACTTTGTAGGCTGCAGTGGGCATCGCCATTGCACTCACTGTAGTCTCCAAAAACAGACTAGACTGGCTGACTGACTGCAGTGACTGACTGTAACTAGCAAACCAACCCTCCCGCCCGCGACCGCCAAAATCCAACAGTTGATGGATGGATGAATGGATGATTGCCCGTGGTTGTTTAGTTAGTTAGTCTTCTTCCAATCTGTCCGTCGTCCTCTTCCCTCCCTCCACAAAGGCCCCCCCCCGTCATCGTCATCAACCGCCAAACTCCCTCCTCCTCCGTCTTCGTGCTTCATCCCTGAGCTGCAAGGCTCTCCTCTCTCCTCCTTCCATCTTTCATCCCTCACTCCCTTCTCTCTTTTCTTTCTTCCTCTTTTCCCCCCCTATTCCTTTCTTTTTTGTTGCCGCTTGTACATACAGACGATCGCACTTGACCCCCCGAGATTGTCGTGGGGTCTCTCCCCTCTCTCATCCCCCGAAAGTCGTACGGCGTTAATACCAAACCAAACCAAAAAAATCCGCGCCATTCGCCCTTCCCTTCGTGGCCTTTGAAGAAGGGTTGGCAGACACCTGCTGGCAGGCTGACTTTCTAACTATTTCTTCCTTGATTTGAACCACCCCTCAAAGCCATTATCACGACTTTGGTGAACTTTCCGACCTCACAGAAGCGATCGTCACTTGAATTCCGGTGCTGCAACCTGTGACGCGGAGGAAGCCTACGATTAGCTGCGACCTGGGCATCGTTTCCTTCCAACGCACGCACGCACTCTTCCACCACCCAACCCAGTCGCCGTGTTCTGGACTACATCTCAATTCTTCTTTCGCAGTCAGCATCGGATGTTATCGGTTTTCTAGACGAACTGTCAAATGGTATGTAGAATCTCTTTACAATTTTCTCACGCCCACAGTTTGGTACCCGTCTGGTGGCGTTATTCTGTGTGCGCTGCGTACATGTTTGTCTTTGCAACCACTGGGTTTCCTTCTGAACTTCCTTCTTTCACCTTCCATTTGTATCTCGCTGGCTCGAACCGGATCGCAGTTGTATATCGTCTGACTAATGCTGGTCTTAACTTTAGTCATCAATCTCTGGATGGCAATAGGCAGCTCATAAACATCCATTGCCACGTCCCCAATCTCGGCTTGCTGTTACTATGGGACAATCTTCTTCAACGCAACGAAATCGTCGTCACAGTAACCCTCCAGAACACTTTTTCTCTTTTCACGCGCATCGAAGTCGGCTCCATAGGGATGAAGATATGAATCACGGACACAACTCGGATCACTCGGGGGATTTCCATCCCCCACAAGGAACGGAAACAAACCACGAGACAGGAGCCGTCCGGCCCGAAATTTTGCAGCCACTGATGTCTTCACTTGGCGACCAGCAGCAGATGAGAAACACACAGGAAGAGAGTGGCTCTCAGCTTGAGCAAAACCAACGGGAAAGTCGCTCAGCCATCTTTGCTCGTATGGCAGCCAGAAGGCAGTCTACTATGTCTCGTCTGGGTTCTAGGATTCTGCCTAATTCTGTTATTCGTGGGCTGTTGAGCAGCGAAGAGGAAACACCCGCAGAAGGTCACGCTCACCGTCACGGTATCGTGTCAAGGCCAGTCCCTAGGACTGAAGCTACACACAGCAGCAGTCGGTTTAGCCCGTTCGGTGGGATCTCTAGACGACGCTCAGCACGGGGGCCTTATCACATCCCCCGCAGCGACTCATTGCTTGACCCCTCCGGCCCTGGACCGTATCTCGTTCCGCCAGAGAATACGTCCGAAACTACAAGGAACTCGTGGCGACGCAGTACCCGACTGAACCGTATGCGAAATTCAATCTCAGGCCCAATAACACATATGTTCGGACAGTCATCGAGTATCTCTGGTCAAAACCTGGATTCTACGCCGCAGTTACCCTTAGGATCACTTCCCGGTGAAGACCACGATGGCATTCTTCCGTACCCCACAGCCATGGATATGCGGATGGATTTTGACGAGCCTCACGAACTCGATTCAGTGGAACCGGCGGTGGGCAGTACCCGTCCAATTTCTCCCATGTCGCAGTCAGCGCAGGGTTCTCCCGGCTTACGACAGTTTCCGGGTTTGTTGCGAGCGAGGTCATCACGCGTGCTGCGTCGGGAGGAGCAAACGCCTTTGTCTCGTGTACTTCAGCTGGCCGCTGCCGCAATTGCTGCCCAACTCTCTGGCACAACTGGGCCTGTCATGCCTAACATTCAAGCTCTTGGAAACGATGGTCTTGACGGGTCACTTGAAAACTTTATACAAAGCTTGCAGCATGCAACCTCCGCACAGCAACCCACCCCAACTGAGACACCTGGCCCAGCAGGGGATGGTGCTCCCCAGACTCCAGTCAACTTTCTGAGGGTGTTCCGATTTGCCAACTCGGATAATGCTCGGCCCAGCGGAAATACAGAACGCCCCGATGCGGATAGTGATAATGCAGGAAATACCGGTTCCCGAATGGATGTTGACCCCCCTACCGATGGTCCGGAAGGGCGTACAGTCACTTTGGTGGTGGTCGGTGTCCGCTCGGTCCCATCAGGCAATGGCCCTACCGGTGAACCGCAAGGCAATCCCGCTCCTGGACTAGACGCACTACTTCGCCTGCCATTTTTGACACCTGGAAATATGACACGGAGCCAGGATGGCAACGCGGCCCCATCAGCACGTGGTCAAGACCGACCAAGAATATCGCGGGCTCGCGAACTACAACGGCTTGACGAACTGTCCCGCGGTAATGGTACACATACCGGGGGTGAACCAGCTTCTCATGGCCATCTACATCCCTCGCGGCGGTTCTCTGATACGGCCGGCCGCGCTCCCCTCTCATCCGTCCCTGCTATTTTGTCGGAGAGTCCTCCGGGGCCCAATCCACCCCCGTCAACGCCAGCCGAACCTGGGCTATCAGCCGTGTCATCTGGCGCCTCTACCCCAAGTCGAAGGCCGTCTGCCGCGTCTGCGATGTCTCCTAACATCTTGCCTCAACTTGATGAGACTCGGACATTACAGCCCACAGCTGAGTCGGTCGCAGACGGCATCCCGCCAACTGCAACACGCCAGCGACGTCGTAGTGACTCGGAGTACGCGCGTCATCGTGACCTAGGATCTGGTGCGGTCAGACGCAACGGCGTGGTAGAACCTGACAATGGCACACCACCTACGGGCAGAAGCTGGCTGATCTATGTTGTTGGAACAAATTTGTCGGAAAACCATCCTGCTTTTGCTACGCCGAGTCTCTTCACTGATGTAAGATCAACAACCATCCGCTTGAGACTTTCAACCATAACTGACAACCTGCAGAACCCAACATACGAAGACATGATTTTGCTTTCGTCTCTTCTCGGCCCGGTCAAACCACCCGTAGCTACTCAAGAAGATCTTACCTCGGCTGGCGGTATGTTCCGTCTGGTCGAGTACGGAGGCACCCTCGTCGCGGAGGCTTTGGAAGGTACCGGTAGCATCCATCTACCTGAGGGTGAACGTTGCTTGATCTGCCTAAGCGACTACGAGGTGGCCGATGAGCTTCGACAACTGAACAAATGCGAGCATCTGTTCCATCGGGATTGCATAGATCAGGTAAACAACTAATCGATCAATACGGCAAGCCTGACGCTAACACTAATTCTGTAGTGGTTGACAACCGGCCGTAACTCCTGTCCTTTGTGCCGCGGTCAGGGTGTGGCTGAAACGTCCAGCAATGGGTCGACTACCGAAGCGCCAAATGCAGCGGCAGCGTGATGACACCTGATCGACATCTGCGGCCTCGAGTTTCTTTTCTGGAGTTACCTATAATACCTTTAACTAACCCTTGATTTCTCTATTAGCATGAAGCGTCTATACCAAAGCCTGATGAATGACTCTATCTTAACTTTTTCACGATATCCCTTCATGGACATCAAGCGTGGCTCTCTCTCATTTGTCCTCTCCCAATTCGAATGACCTTTCTGGTTAACTCATTGTTCTTTCCGGGATTTTGCAAAGTCTGGCGGTTTACGAAGGGGAAAATGGATAGAGGGCTGCATATTTGCATCCTTGCAGATTGCCGTCAGTTGTCTCGGGTCTTGCGCTATGGCATGGAGATCCTGTATTGATTTTTATGTGACATATCTCCGGATAATCCTTTTACTTGTTTCTGCCATTGATTTCATGCTGTATTATTCCCCACTGTGTTTGATATATGGCTGTCGGCCCGTGAGGTGGATATGCATAGGTGCATAATACATTTTCCACTTCTGTCTTTGTTAGGGTCAAGAGGAACCAGTGATGGCATTGGGACTAGGTCAATTAGGCGAATGCAATTTGTTTACCTCCGGACTTGCAAGCATGGATAAGTGCAAGTGTTTCCGAGGAACGGCGGAGCGGAGAGACTCCGGGCGAGGGCGAGTCCCGCACTTCCGCCCCTCACGATGACTCAGCCCACCGCCGTCCAACCCCGCGTCTTTTGCGATTCCGGCGTAAGTTGTTGAGAACGCAGCGGGTACCCAATTCTTGTCCTTTGGACAGCTAGCCACAGGCCTTATCCCTTCTTCGTGACATTGAAAGTCCCTGGTGGGTATGAAAAGGTCACCCGAGGAGACATTTATCCAGATTCACTGACTAGGTTCTCGAAGGGAGTTATTGGCCAGGGAAAGAAAAAATAAAATCTTACCCCGCTATCCAGGAACCGACGCCGATATCGAACTTGCCGCAATTCACCCCCTACACCTCCTCCAAAAGCCAACGCGACCATTACGTGGAAATGGCTGACCCCGTCCGTTTAACCGTCCTCATCTCCGGCAACGGATCTAACCTTCAGGCTGTAATCGACAAAACCAGCGAAGGTCAACTCTCCACCCAGATCGTCCGAGTCATTTCCAACCGCAAGGATGCTTTTGGCCTCGAGCGGGCTCGCAAGGCCAACATCCCGACGCAATACCACAACCTCGTGAAATACAAGAAGCAGCACCCCGCCACTCCGGAGGGGATCCTGGCCGCGCGGGAGGAGTATGACGCCGAATTGGCTCGGTTGGTGCTCGCCGACAAGCCGGAGATGGTCGCTTGCCTGGGTTTCATGCATGTCCTCTCCCCCCGGTTCTTGGAGCCGTTAGAGGAGGCTAAGATCAAGATCATCAATTTGCATCCTGCTCTGCCGGGTGCTTTCAATGGAGCGGTATGTCCTCCCCCCCACCGGTTGTTATTTTCCTTATAACCTTACATGGCTGGATGCGCGACTGCGAACGGGGCTGGGTTACGGATGTGGCTGACTTTGAATTCTCACAATCTAGAACGCGATCGAACGTGCTCATGCGGCTTGGTTAGAAGGAAAGATTGATAAGACGGGCGTCATGATGCATAAGGTGATCTCGGAGGTAGACATGGGAACACCTATTCTGGTGCGCGAGATCCCTTTCGTCAAGGGAGAGGATGAGGACCTTCATAAGTTCGAGCAGAAGGTGCATGAGATCGAGTGGGGGGTGGTGATCGAGGGAGTACAGCTTACGATCCAGGAGATCCAGGATGAGAGGCAACAGAGGTGATTTTTCGTCTGGAATTCTATGATTTACGACTGTGGTCAGGATACAAAGATACCAAGGATGAATTTTTAAAGATGTATAATTGTCGGCAGCATCTGTAGGAAATCAATCCCTTTGCTCTGATATTGTTTGTTATAGTGACCGGAAAGGATATGTTCCGATGACCGGCCACAGCTGGGAGGATGTCAGCTTGCAGTGCCAGGGAAATGCACTGAACACCGGCGGGGCACGGCGTGACTGCCTCGGCGTCAGCCCGTCCAGCGGCGCTTCCAGCTTCCGTCTCTGGGGATGAAACTCAGACTTTCCTCATTTGCTGGCGAGTGCTTCATTGTTGTCAGGTGGGCACCTAGTAGAATGAGGAATATCATATCATGTCATGCAACACAAAATTACTGCGACTTGACCCGCACGAGTCAGCGGATCATCCTCTCTGTTTGTTGATCGTCCTCGCTGCCGGCGTGCAGCCAGCCTTCCTACTAGTGATATCACTACGAGAATCCCAAATCTCCGCCTGAAACTTGATCCACTCAAATCGGCCTTTTTACGTGATCCTACATATTGGCCATAATGTCGAGGGATATCTCCTCACCGAGACCAAACGGCGACGCCCACTTCCCGGTCCAGATAGTTTTCCCAGCAATGCCCGGAACTAGGCTGGCACTGGCATTTGAGCTGCGAGGAATTCCACCGGGGGTGAGGACAAATGGATGCTAGAATTGAACGTCAATGGTAACTGAGATCGCGGTCACGGTGCTATCATCCCAAGCCCTCAGCAAAAGGGCTGAGAACGATATCACTATTTACTCTGAGAAGTCCCTGAATTCCCCCAGCGCTGACTTGGTGGCCCGACTCCAATCTCTCCTCTTCTCTGGACACGGCTCCACTCTGCAGGACAATCTTACCCTTGCTTGTTGTGCTTGGTAAGTACGAGCCCACCAACCCCTCACCCCGTTCTTGATACTGTCAAGTGGGTGATCATGATCATCGTGGGCTTGGGGCCCCTGGCTGCATACCCCCAACAAGCCCAGGATGCGGAAGCCTGTTAGCGTTGAACTTAAGATTGCCTATGCCAGCGGGATTGGGTAGATTCACTCCTCTCGCAGTCGGGTCTGCCAGCATCATGCCCTCAAAAATCTCTCACTGCGCCGTTCTTACGTATTATGTCATCGGAGATGGCAGACTGGACCGCTCATGTTCGACATCTCGTGTCCCTACGGAGTTTAAACCCCTCATTTGGAGCTCTATCTGGGCTCTAGTCCTGCTGATAGGCCGAGGTCGTGGATCTAACGGCTGATTTGCATCGCAAGCGCCCAATACACAACCAGACAATATAGAGTGCTTGGTGCATGTGTGTCCACGTACGCCACCCAGGAGAGCCGTGATGCATGATTGCTAGGTAGGAATCATTAGCGCAGCTCAAACAAGCCGTCTGTTGTTCCCTGTTGGGAAGGGGTGGGCTGTGGTTTCACCGGAGCAATCATGATATGACGGCTGGTACAAAGTTGAAATTGCCCTGACTCGACAGAACTCCCCATCGCAGCTTTGCTGATGTGGAGCTGAATCTCCGTTTCTGTCGCTGACTCAATGCAAGTATACACCAGAAGCAGATTTGTCTAGCAGCCACACTCATTATACAAACTTCGGGCCCTTCGACAGTGTATGTTGATGACACTTGATTGTGTCATTTGAAGGCCCAAAATGAGCATTCCGAGGCACAAGCATGGGGACAGAGAAGAGATTATTATCGAAGTCGTCACGTAAACCCGGTCAATCTTGCGATTAATTCAATAGGTGCTCTATTTGAAGCCATTACGGTCAAGCCTCGATAGCTGGGCCGTCCTTTCCTCCTAATGGAGAATCAACTCCACTTTCGGGACCGTTGACTGGCATCGTCATGGTAGCCTGTGCTTCCGTACCATTGAATCAAGGATTTTACTGGTGCCTTCTAGTGGACGTACTTCCGGACTGGCTGGCTCATCGGAAAACTTCGAATTTCCGTGATGATGATCCCCGAGAATCTATCCACGAAATTAATCTTTTTTCTCAAGGCCCCTTTCAGTGGGTCGTCCCCCATTCCAGGTCTAGGTCTGCGATACTCGACTCGACATATTTGCTCAATATCCGAGCGAGGAACAACACCCACCGATCATATTACGCGTGATCATGCTATTGATAGCTCCTGGTCAGTATCACGCGGACAGAGAATATTAGGGAAGCGTCCATCCACTGAGTCACGACTACTATCATCATCACGGACGAAAGATTCAAGGAACTAGTCTTGGTGGCCATGTCCTTTTGGACTTCAACGTTTCCCCCTTCGCACCCCCAAGTTGGCTAGCCACTCCTCGGGTTTTCTTGGGCTGGCCAATCCGCTGTCTGAACATCTACCTGTCCACTCACCCGAGGGTCCGATTGACCCATGAGGGTAGGTCTAATTTATGATAGTGTTATTGCCTGGAGGACTGGTCGCGTTTGGCAGAGGTCTCACGCCAAAGTCTAGTTTAGCTACCCCCTGCCTTCAGTGGCACCGCAATGACTGGTCTCCGGTTTTTGGCAGGTGAACGGAGATTTGAAATGAAGAGGTTTTTTGAGCGCAGGCTATTGGATCACTGCTGTAGCTTGCTTCATTGGTTGTGGAGGAGGCCAGGTCCTGGTCACCCTTTTACGAGTACGACTAACCAATGCAGTCCCCATGGGTCAACCCACATTCAGCTTGGCTAATTTGAGCTGCGTACTCGAGTGCATCTAGTCTCTTCGTGGTGGCTACCACTTTCATCACCCATGACTTGGGATGACAATCAGCATGCGACCGGTAGAAACAAAGTAGTCGATCATGCTACCTTGTTACAGCATACGCCAGCGCGATTACGAGGCGAAATAGGTAATAAGTACGGCAGGCGACGAAAAAAAGGAACAAAAGGGAAAGAAAAAGGTTATGAACTCGAGCACTAAAACCCTGTTTGCACATGACATACGATCCCTCTTAATTGTATGGTATGAGATCAGCCTGGTTTAGGGCTTGTGTGGACCTCGATGCCACGACAGACTGTACTATACGACCAGGTTGGACAAGGCCGTCATATCCGCCCACGCCAGACTCCTCTGGACTTGTGGTACCAGGCTAGATCTATTTGGTACGGCCCAGTCATCAGCACCGCACACTTCAGCTGTCAAACTCAAACCCTCTCAGGTGTCGATCAGGAACCTCCGGTAAACCCGAATCCATTTTGCCTCCCGGCAGTAATTCCGCGGACATCAACCCCTTGCTTACGACGCCTGCAACCCTGCTTGGTTGCCGCAGTACAACAGGTTCTTGGACCCCAAATCATTGGGAGTGGAACTGTAGGTCCACGCTTCTTCAAAGTGATCAGTTTGTGGGGAAGTTTGATAACGGACATCGGCCTTGTTGGCTATAACATCGGCTGTTATGACCGCCTACCTCCAGTTTTCCAATGATGTATGAGGAGCCCCAGGTTGGCATAGAGTTTTTCCGGGTTCACGGACGAACTTCTCGGCAAATATTTCCCATGGGAGTGTTTCAGATTTGCCGAGGCGACTCGGGGAGTGTAATAGTGGACCTTCAGCGGAGTCGTCCGTCCGAATGGTACGGCGTTAGCGGTTGTTGGTCCATCGGAAAAGGTTTGGCTGCCTCCACTGCTATTTAGTCGTCTAACCTTTGAGCGAACGTGCTCTATGCCAGTCTAGTCGGTTTATTCGTCGTTGTGCAAGCTAATGCTATATGGATGAAAACTAGACAACTTCCTCGGCTTGCAATGCGGATTGCAAAAGTTTACTGATTTGGGTTCCTTTTGGTCGACTTACTATTGCCGAGATTCACACAGATATACAGCTTTTTTAGCAATTGTGAGGATCACATTCGTGATGACAATACCGCTACAGCTATCTGAAGACTACATCATCCTGGGACTATCCCCTTTCTCTAGGGAAGACGCTGCCCATCTAGCCCTCAAGTTCCCAGAGAGCTGAGCAGATCCACTTACATTCATCTGCCCGTGGCTCTTGGTAATCTCGAGACGCGGCTAAATAGAGATGAGTTAGGGCTAGCTGGAACATCATCCGGCCGTACGTTGTCCGAGTCAAACCGTGGTACCTGTTACTTCTGCTTCTCAGATTTCCAGGGCATTATCTACATATCACTGTCACACGTTGTGGCAGTCTGCAGTACACTGGGGACCCTCTTGGGAGACCGTGACTGTCGGTGGGGATCTGCAATCTCCTGGAGGATAACCATATCCATGGTTGTCCCTAGAATGGTCCCCGAAGGGAAAGGCCTCCTTTTCATCCCTGCCGTAGCGGGAAACCCGATCGTAATCGACAATGGCCGAGATCCCATCTGGACGTCTGATTTCTGCAGGATCATCCGATGGATACTGGGACTGGAAGTCTGTTTGAGAGAAGCTCCATCCGTGATTTTCCAGTCCAGACTCCTGCCGTAGAGATGGCGCAAGAGAGTAGTGACGATCATTGTCCGATCTAGAATGGCCCACTCGCCGGCCAGACTATGGAAGGAGGCACGCTGCTACAGACTTCGAGTCAGTCCTTTCACTTGTTGCTTCAATCAACATCATTGGGGATTGGAGGAGTCGGATGAGATAGAATAAGGTGCGGTGCAGGGAGTTCTAGCGCCGGAGAGCCGGTAGAAACAAGTAAGGTTGGCTGGAATGTTCCCATCGTCAGGGGACTGTCTCAAAGTCTATCTGACTTAGTGTGACAGTCTTTGGCAGTTTGACTGGGGCCGGTAGATTCGGGTCGTCCTTGTCATCATCATATCCGTCCCTTTTTTTTTTGAGTCTGGAATCTGGATGGATCGGTTTGTGCTAATGATTTAGCTGGTGATGGTGGTGGTGGTGATGGTGATGGTGTTAGAGATGGTGGTAGTGGTGAATGGTGACTGGTTCATTTATTTTTCTTGCAGGGAGGAAAATACAAAAACCTGAAGCATCGAAGCTTCTTCTCAGGCAGAAAAGACCCAAGCTCCCTCCAGGCAGGACAGGCAAAATTACCCCATCCGGCTGTTCCCTCCATTAATCCCATTTTCTCTCCGCTTCCCGACTCTCACTCCCTCACTCTCTCGACTTCTCATCTCTCTCTTTCAAACTCGCACCCATTCTTCTCACGCCTTGCTATCTTTCTCATTCTTGCTCCATCATTACCCGTACCATTTGGTCATTTAAACCATTCACCTTGACATCTTCACGGTCACCTCTCAGCCTACCTCATTACCCTTCGTTTTGGCGCTCCCCCGCTCTCCGGTCTTCCGCTACATCTGGCGGTTCCGCCAGCCACCAACCAAGAAACAACAAACCTAAGATTGTTACAACAAATTGTCAACGGCTATGCGGATCAACTACACTCGCTATAACCGTCCTTAGGCCTGGAGCTGAGCTTATACAGCTAATGCCAGCTCTATCGACGCCGTCCCGCCTGTCTACTTCGATGCCAGTCCCGACATGGCCTCATCATACCCCCCCTCTCAGACCACCATGACGGGCTATGTTCCTGGGCCTGTCTCGTTCGCAGAGGCACAGTCGCAACATCAGCATAACTCCCTCACGGCCTACTCGATTCTCGGCACCAATCACTATCCAGACAGTGTCGCATATTGGCATAATCCTTCAGCGCAACCCCAACCGGCGCTTCCCGCCGTTTCTTATCCGCCGGTCCCTCCGAAACCGCATTCGTTACAGCAGCCCACCCCCGATCTGAAGAAGCACAAGCGTACCCGCAGCGGCTGTTTCACTTGTCGATCCCGCCGTATAAAATGCGATGAAACACGCCCTATCTGTGACAGGTGTCGGAAAGGGAACCGTGACTGTGTCTATCCTTCTCCCAATACCCCGGGCGCATCCAAGTCCGCCAGCGCCCGCGGTACCTCCAAGGCACGCGGCTCCCAGGCTCGCGCAGCGGATGGGTCCATCAGTCCCGAGGGATCTGAGGATGTGCACGTACTAGAGACCATAGCCGACGAAGAGGAAGAAGACGGAGATAGCGTGGGGTCCAGTGCGCATCTGTCTCCTACAATAAGCCAACGCCAATCAGCGGCAGCACGACCTAAAACAACTTTGCCCCGGAAACAAAGTACTCAGTCGTCAAGGCGCCGTAAAAGGAATCCCTCCGTTGCGCTGGACGCCATACCTTCGCGCACCGAGACTAGCACATCCCCTTCTCCCTCGACCGAGACCTCCTCGCACTTTGAGTCTGTCAGCGCCCGGTCGGCTAGTCTGGGTGCTAACCCACTGGATCCAGTCGCAGGTACGATGACCATCAATCAACTGTCAAATGACTTGCGGTTCTATCTTCGCTATCACTGCGACTTTATCACATATCGACACTATTTCCTCCGGCCATCAAACGATCGTTTTGTCCGTCATACCATCCTTGATTTGGCGTTGCAGTACGAGCCGCTCTTGTACGCCGTTGTTGGATTTTCGGCATACCACCATTGCGTCCAAACAGGGAACGGTCGACTTTACTCGTTTTTGAAATACTACAATAACGCTCTGAAGTTGTTACGCAAATCCCTTGGCTCAGGCGAGCCACACAATGAGGCTACATTAGCCACCGTGCTGGTGCTCACCACCTTCGAGGTATGACTGATATACTTACCTGTCAGTCAACTCTCGCGGTCCATCACGCTGATATGTTTTGCAGGAATTCATCGGGGACTGGGTCAATCTAATTGACCATCATCAGGCAGCCCATGCTTTGATGCGAGAACTCTTGACCCCTGAAACTATCAACACGAACGAGCTCCACCAACATATCTTCCTCTGGTATGCACGTTTCGATGTGGTGGCGGGAATTCTGGCAGGCAACGAGACGGTTCTGAGCCGAGATTGGTATGTTGCAAAGGAGGAATATGACGCTCAGCAAGCGGCAACCCACCCGGGTGATGTGGACAAGCAATTGGCTTGGGCCACGTCAATCAATCGTCGATTTGGGCTAGATATGGCTTCCTTGTATGCCAAGTTATCACGTGGCATGATCCCGATCGACGAGTTCATGGTGCAAAATGACCTCCTGGGCCGAACCTTGGAACAAATGAAGAGCATCCTGGTGCAATTCCAGAACTCGGAGTTCGCCGTGCAGGAGTATCCCTATCGCGTGCCATTGACCGAGGACGATATTGTGGATCCGTATGTGCCAGGTGGGATGCATTGTGGCCCTCTATGGGAGGTCAATATGGTGTGGATTGATTACCTGTCTACCAAGGCCATGTTCAAATATCAGTCGTTTCTGGCACTAAGACAAACGTCAATAGCCGAATTGGAGGACCTTTCCATGGAGCAGTGTCGATTGATGGAATCGGTTGACCGATGGCCAGGCAAGGAGAACGGGGCCATCATTTCCTTCAAGAACAGCCTTGGCATGGCGGCCATGTTCCTCCCGAAAGAAGATAAGTATATCATGTGGGCGCGGCGGAAGTTCGCCTCGTTAGAGCAACAGGGGTAAGTGTGGCCTTATAAGAAGTCTTGTCGTGAGTGACGCTGACGGGTTTCTTCAAAGCTATGTTGTCGCATCCCGATTTCGATCAGCAATGGCGGCGCTCTGGCAACTGCCACAGATTGATCGATGGTGGCTTCCCAACGACGAGAGTTACCCAAAAATTATCCGAGAAGTGCGCGCGATGACCGAGGAGCGTATCAATCATCCTCGCGATCATTTCCGTGAGGATGTGCGGGACATGAAGGCGCTGTTTTGGAATATCAGCCTGGACGATACGGAGAGTGATGGCAGTCCGGCCTCGGTTCCTCTTACCGCAGATGCACGGCCCACATAAATCGGCACTGCTAATGCTATAGTCTCACTGCGTTATTCCGCTATAGTACGATCGTACTATAATTCAGCTTGGGGCCTTGGATCCATAGCGGGAACAGCGGCTAAGCGATTGACAACGGCAACAATCGCGCGCGCACAGCGCAAGTCGCGCTTCAGCTCTCGGCGCGCGGCTTCTCCTCCTGCCTCAACTTAATATATTCATAGTCCTGTTTTCTATATACCCACCTTTGTTCCCGAGGCAGGACAGTCTGGTAGCGCCAACGAGGCACGCATGTTAATGGAGACGGAAACCGGACGCGGACTTGGATCCTTCCCGGGGCGATCATTATACATACAAGTACTACATGCGATATCACTCGCATGATATACCCACTGGCCCGTGCACATGGCCAATCTCATCTTGTACAAAGCACGCAAGCAACATGCTGCATGCAATCGATATTTTGAACATATATACTGGGCCAAGTAACGAGCCGCGCATATAGTGTGAACATCATTGTATTCAACGAATGTACATATATGTTATTCTGTGGCTGATACCACATATCTGGAAGGGGAGTATTTATAGACGTGGTCAAGAGCTGAAGAATTGATCTACCCTCCGTCCACACCAAGGGTAGAGCAACACGCGATTCGAAGGATGAAGCTGGTAATCTCATATCTAGCTCATCGATGACCGATGAGCTAGATATGAGACAAAGCCATATGACAATTATCATAGAAACAGGCCGGGTGGCGCAATGGTAGCGCGTTTGTTTTCGGCACAAAAGGTTGCGCGTTCGAGTCGCGTCCCGGTCGAATCTTTTTGTCTTTCTTTTTGTGGTGCTGTGCATGTTGCATGAATGTGTCTGGTCGAGTATCGGTTTTGCAGGGTTTCTGCTGTTGTCTACTTCTTTTTTTTTTTTTTTTTTTTTTTTTTTTGTCCGTGTATTCCAGGGTGGTATCCACCACTTCACC